GTAGGCTGCGGTAACCATTTACCAGAGGGGCCGTATGCATGTTTTCCACCATAGTAGAATAAAAAAGGGTCAGTGTTATAATGACAAATTGAGGATGTCACCAAACTTAGAATAAAAAAAATATTATTTGCATAAAACAATATCAAAATATAACCTGACCTAAAATTTGACGAATATCAGATTCTTAATATATTATTAACAAAACTAACAACCATCACTTGTATCTACGTATGTAGAAAATCTCTACGTATCTCTCCAAAAGCTGTAATTACCGTAACCGTAGCCGGTTATGGCTACCAAATCATTCATAGATTTATTTTCCTTATTATAAACAAAGTTTAACTACCATTACATTCATCAGAAACATCCAGACGCCTAATTAATTTATTGAAGGGGAAACGAAGTTGCTACAATCGCAAAATGAAACAAAATGCTACATCACTGCACCATCAAAATCGTCATTAAGTGAATAATATCTTTATAACATAATAAACACGAAAGTTTGTGAGGTCACAAAGTCTCACAAACTTTCGTAACTTCGTTTGACTCTTTCACGCAACGGATTGTGATAAAACTTTACAGAAATATAGCTTACACATCAGAATAACATATAGGCTATAATTTAGAAAGATATGTAAATCGGGCGAAATATAACGATAAATATCAAGTGTGATGCAGAAGTTGTGCGGGTCAGCTTTTAAAAAATAAACCATAGAGCACCGGATGGCAACAGAGAAAAGAGTATTTTTTGTGAGAACAAAAAACTCAAATTAGCTCAACTATGTGTTATAACGTCTTACGAACGATATGTCAATGGTCACGGTGTAACAGGCACGCGAGCAATTTGTGCGTACATACAGGGATGGCACGAGAATACACCTACAGGGTGTATTTGTACTACCAGATTTTATTTGTACTACAAAACTCATGATATTACCTCTAAGCAATAGCAAAAGGTTTAAAGTAAAACAAATATAGGTCCTATCGTGAGCAGAATAAATTGTGATTAATATAATGACGGGCATAACAGTGCTTTTCGTGGTCATATATGTATTGTACGAAAACGAGAATTTTGATTTTTGGAACGAGAATTTTGGTCTTCATTACGAGATTTTTAGTCTTCGTAACGAGAATTTTGGTCTTCAGTACGGGGATATTTTCATCCGAGATAGACTTTGTGAAAAATAATCTGCGTGTGTGGCGCCAAGCAGCTTCGTTTGTTAGCTATGTTTCGGTTGAAGGATGGGATAAGGCAATAAATTACATGATATCTTAATCCGTCCTCATCGTTAATCATATCCGTGACACTGATCATTTTAAAGGCAACAATTACCACTTACCAACAGGAAAAACATCAACTTGTTTGGCGTTAGTTACATAAAAAAAATCATACAAGTTTGTACGAAATTTTGACCTACGGAAATCCGTTGAAACGTGTACGAGGTTTGAAAGTCAAGTGACTCCACGAGATTGTTTTCTTCATACATTTTTTTTAAATGTTGACAACCCTGCGTAAACACAATAACGCTAGCGTAACGTGTATTTAATTCCCAACTAATCACTAGGCTGGCCACTCATCCTGATCCCTACTGTAGCTACAAAAGTTGATGAACTCTGAAACTGTTGCATGTAGGTGGTATGTACCTTTTTTGTGTTGTATTTTCGAATTTGAAAAAATCGTCTCTTACTTGTTATTGTGTAATCAATTATATAAAAAAAACATCTATTCAAAACAGCAATACACACGCGAGTTTCTTACTCATTCTTCTTGTGATGAATCTGCGTTCCAAATGAGTGGTAGAATAAAAAAAATGACTATTCAAAAGTGCTTGTTTTGAGTTTATTGGAATAAAGATTATTTCTATTTCACGCTTGACACATTTTTATATATACCCTATATATATAAGGAAAAATGTTTCTTTAAAAAAAAAAATGTTGAATAGTGATGAGGTTTTAACAACACTAATTATTATATCCAATGTAATCTACTTGATTACCAGACCCACAGAGACAAATGACAAAAAGACCTTCAAATTTTCATTATCTATTTTTTTTATTTACATTTGGCCTAGATAGCTACATCACCAGCCAGTGACAGGCTGTAGTAATTCCACATGCAATATTTAACATAGTTTAGTAAAACACATAAATCTGACATATTTCATTCTAAAGCACTTTCAGGCTCTGGAAATATTTTGATGATTTGATTTGATAGACGTTTTTAAATTCAAAACTTTAGAACTAACAATGCAGATATGGAAGAATAAAGATAATCAAATTATTGTTTTAAAATCATAATCATGATATTTAATCCTTATCAAAAATTATATAATTTAAATTAATAATCATATACAGATATTCATACTACTATTAGCATGATTATTTGATTAAATAAGTCCAAATTTAGTGTTTCTATTTTTCTTTTTTTATTATGGAAGTAGTAGGAGATCTTTCTATGGAAACACAGCTAACAAAAGAAGCTGCTTGCATCAGAATTATGTGAGTACCAAATAACATAAATGACTACAAAGTCTACTATGGTCATTCAAATTTATTAAGCGGATCCATAAAACCCTATTTATGAATATATGCTCAATAAATTTAAACCCTTCATGAATTGCTTGAAAATAATTGTTTAGACCCCTTCAAGAGTATACCTAACCTAGGCTTACTATTCCAATGAATGGATATTAATCAAGCCAATAAATGTATGATTCAAATTCAAAATATCTTTATTCATGTAGGTCTATTACAGACTCTTATGATATGTCAAATCTACCATCAGTAAGGAATGATATCGAGATGAGAAGAACTGAGAAGAAACTCATCATGTATTCTTTTCAAATAAACATTGTACATGTGTACAATAATACAGATTCATTTAAATAGACTGACCTCCAGATTGTGCTTGATAATTTATAGCTGTAATCATGACTAGGACAACATTTTTTATCATGATTAAAATTAATCAGATACAATTAAGTATTAATTTAATTAAACAATTATCCAATACTAATCAACATTCCAAATATGTGAACAATTATTATGATTGAATGTGAATAATTATGAGTTTCCTCTTATCTTCTATCATAATAATTGTCTCTTATATTCTACTATTATTATAGAGAGAGAGAGAGAGAGAGAGAGAGAGAGGGAGAGGGAGAGAGAGAGAGAGAGAGAAATTATAGATTATCAGGATAGTAACCTACTACTAAAATTACTACACTCATCTATGCTAATGGTTTCTGCTGGTAAGGCACCAGTGTTGGATGATAAGATGAGTCTGGTCAGGTCAGTAGGCTCATCATGACAAATTCACCAGCAATTCATAACAATAGTTTCTATGGTCAACCTGACACAGGACATTGCTAACAATATTAGTCCACATTACTAACAATGACCTTCCCCCAACTCTAACACAGTTTTTATAATGGATAGTTGTTTTTTTTAAGGATAATAAAATAATGATGCACCCGCTGAGCTAATGGTATACGCTGGCGGGGCACCAGTGATGGATGATAAAATGAATATGAGGTCAGGTGAGTTGGCCCATCATGACATACTGAATAGGAATTTACCATGACTGTTTCCAGAGCAACCCCATCCCTAGTTAACCTGATGATCAACCTGCCATCCCAAGTTATGGAGTTAGTTATTTTGACAGGACTTTTATTGGCAGGTAGCTGATGTAATAAGAAGTAACTTAGGCTACTTCTATTATAGAAAAATATAGTTAAATTCCATGCGGACAAAGTCACTGGAACATCTAGTTAATTATATAATAAAAACAATGAAGACCTATTTATGTAATGTAGGTAAGAATTTAATATTATAACAAATTATACAATGGTAATCAGTTAAACATATGATTTTATATATGCATAACAAAACATGTTTCAAGATTTGCAAAAGGGTAATAAAGTTTGTTACAGAAATAGATAAATAATAGGTCAGTTCCTGATAACCTATTATGTGGAATTGCAGTATATAAGGTGTCCTTTTATTGATTATGTGTTGATTCTGCTAACATTAGACTTAAGAAATTTTAACTAACAATATGAAGAATAAATCTGTAATAAATGTATTTATTACAGGAACTGGAAATCAATGTATTAATTAGAAATAATATATTATTATTTATTACTTTACTGTGTGAGACGTACAAGGATGGACTTGAATACCATGCGAAGAAATTAACCCTAAAGCTTCTAGATACCAGGGATGATGTATTCCGCTTGAAGAGAGAACATCTGGCCAAAATATAAGTACTTATATAAAATAAAAGGGATTCAAGTCAATGGATGACATATCCCAAAAAATATATCTGATTATAGCCATAAGGCTGATGGCAGATGGAAAAAGAAAGGGAAAAAAATTACTTTAAATTCTCATTTATACCTAGTATATTATTATAATATACATATTATTTTTCAGTTACCAGCTCTAACACAGATAATAAAGTAAGAACATAATTTTTTTTTAATCTTGTTTATTACCAACATATACTGGTCATTGTCTATTACTTAATCATTCAAATAAAATATTTTGTAAAATGTGCATACATAGATATGTAATTTTTTAATTACTTTTTGATACCATTATTCTATATTAAAATGTTTATCTCAATACACTGTACCATTTTTTTTATTTTTTTATTTATAAATATAACTTTTTAATAGGCCTGTTTTACAATACCTTTTGTATTGTAAAGAAGTACTATTAAAAAACTTTCAGATTTATGAAGTAAATAACTAGTGTAAGAAAGAGTTAACAGACAATAGATCATTGCCTTGTTTACAATGTAATTGCCAGATCAACAGTTAGCAACAGATATGACTAAGATTAATGTTTAGGAAAACAAAATACAATTTCAATGTCAAGCTACAAAAGGTCATTGAGACACCAGTGCACTGTATGTGTAACACAGGAATGGTAACGCGCGCAAATAAGGTAAGTGACGGTCATAACCTAGAAAGGTGTAGAGTACAGTTATAGCTCACCTATGGCCGCGAATTCGTCCGGCGTTCTGCCGCCAGCTATGAGCCAGCGGCACCAATCCATCGTCTCCCACTCATCAATAGACTTGCTCGGATTAAGCAGCACATCCAAAAGTGGTCCAAGGTGCTGGGGGGATCCGTTTACGCATTCCGCGTGTATATACCCAGCTGCACCTCGTTTACCTTTTTTCATCAGCACTTGCGCTGATGATGTCGACATTTTCACACTTTTTATTGAACTATAACACTAACACTCATTATACACAAAGGACACCGTATTATTTCGGTCGTTCACGGAAGAAACACAATTTCAAGTTTTACATAAGGCAATGAACTGTGGTCCGTAACGCCCTCGCAGTAAAACATCTTTCTTTTAAACAAACACTATTTGGATTTAGTTTAAATTTCTCTGATTAATCGTTAACAACTGCGTGGTACGTAACATAAACGTAAATAAATTCTTTTTAATTTCACAAGCTGAAATAATGCAAATGCAGAAACAACTCGGCCATTCGGTAAGTGTTAACATATGAAGAAATTGTGTTTACCCAATTTCTTAGAATTTTTGTTGTACGAAGCATCATTTATTTATTATTATTATTTTTATATAAAGCGTAATAATTGCATCAAAAAGTACTACGGACATTTCAACCACACAATTTTCAGTGGTCCATTACTATTCAAACGTGCTAATGATATAGCAACATTCTTCAGGTACGTTTACACGAAGTGAGTGACTTATGCTAAAATAAAATAAAATGTCACTTTTAAAGTTTTCCTCAGAAATAAATAGCAAAGTAACTGCTAGTTAAACATTTTCATTTGTAAAGTTTTGTCTAAGGGTACGATTAGCAGTTCGACCCCTCTGGTTATGTAATCCGTCATAGTCGCACGTAATTTCGACTCCCATTTCACAGATGGAAATCGAACAGAGGGAATTCAATTTCTCGTGAAGATATATATACTTTGAGGTCAGACATAGGCAAACACTAGATAGAAATAATACACATAACATAGGCATTTATCTACAAACTAGTATACAGCTCTAAAGGTCTGTGAGTCAGGGACGGTTTGGTGACTGGTAATAAATTTCTATCCGTCAAAAACCTTTTTACACCAATTTCAAATGGCAGGAAATAATTAAGTTTTTACTGTGTTTGCGAGGGTATTTTGCTCTGCCTAGTTGTATATAAAAAAGTAGACGAAGTTAAAAATAACAATGTCAGTGGTAACGTAAACGTAGTATAATAACTAAAATTTAATCAATATCAGAGAAATAACCAAGTTGTTAAAGTTTGATTTGGAAAAAAATCATATTCATAAAATTTATATAAAAAGGAAAACAATAATAAGATAAACAAGTCCAGTGATTTAGTAGTGCAGTTTATATTTTATCTTTATTTATAATCTGTTACAAAATGTAGCACAATTTTTTCATTCATTCATATTCATTCCATTGTCAATTTATTCCCTTCATTCTTTTACCTGTATTTATTCAATACGCAATGTGTTTTAATTTGATGAATTACTTGAGTAATTCAATATTTTTTCTTAGTGTCTAGTAAATATATATTCTTTTAATCTAGACTACAACACTAAATAATTCATTGTTTTACATTTCGTTATTGTTTCTTAGAATAAAAAGATACGCAATATGGATGAAGAAAAAAAGGTTATGTTTCACGAAATGGAGCTTGATGATCGTATTTTAAAGGTAATTTCGCATTTGTAGCATTTCTTTTATCCTTATAATATATTTATCCAAATATACGTTAATTATTTTAATTGTATTACTTGATATTTATGTTGCATTTTAGGCAATATCACAATTAGCATGGAGTGAGCCCACATTGATACAGGAAACGGCCATTCCATTGCTTTTGGAAGGTAAAGACGTACTTATGCGTGCACGCACCGGCTCAGGAAAAACTGCTGCGTTTTCAGTACCTGTTATACAAAAGATATTGAACTTAAAAAATACAAGTCGTCATCAAGCTGTGCACGCTCTGATTTTGTCTCCCAGCAAGGAACTGTGTGGCCAAGTAAGTAAATTTATATGTTTTGTAACCGTATACGAGAAATTAAAATACCATCGTAATGATCTGGAGGAATGGCGGTCCTCCACAGTGCATTTTTCAGGATTTTTTTACCACACAACCAAATTGGGATTGATTTGAAATTGGGTGGGATCATCTTCCAGCAATGGTACTTCAAGAAAAAACCGTAGTCTTAGTTATAAGGCCGGCAACGCATTTGTAATTCAACTGGTGTTGAGGGTGGCAGTTAGGAATACCTGAAACAAAAAATTGTGTATTTACTTTTAATAACTTTTTTAGGAATTTACTTTCTTCAATAACTGACTCTTCGTAAGCCATATATATAAATTAATATTACCCTTGGTCAAACCATCACATGTGAATGGCTTGACTAATTTCGCTAATTACATTTTTTGTTATTAGAAAAGTTCTTATGAAAGTAAAAATTAAGAAAGCTGCATAGATCATTAATATGATCTTTAAGTTTTATTTAATGTTTACCTACTGTGTACAATGTGCACAGTCAATATTTATAGTTAAGACAGATTAATGTCTGTTGGTCAGCTACTAACAATGTACATTAAGTATATCTATAGCTATGGTAACTATTTACCATCAAATGCCATATGCTTGTTTACCACTATTATAAATTACACCAGTCTCTAATTAATCTACTATGAGATAACCAAAACAATACAGAGTAGTTTATACAATAATTACAACAGAGTAGATTACTAAAGTACGATTATTAATTCCAGTCAGTAAAATGATGAGTGCAACTGTCACTGATACAAAAAAGGGTGACCTGCTACAATAGTGATGTGCGGCAATCAATAGACTTAGCTATTTAGACATGCTTTATTTTATTAGGTATTGAAGACTTTTTTTTAAATTTTTAATATTTAATACATATCATATTAAATAATATGATTTTAGAAATATGGACCTTACCTGCATATTAAAATTTCTCACTATAACATTATTACAGAAGCTGGGAAAAAATGTAAAAAGAGATTCAGAGGAATTAATACTAGAATTTTTATTTATATAAAGGCAATTTGATATTGAATAAAAAAGTCTCAACTAACTTTTAATTGTAAAAACTCGATTCTACCACATCACTATTTATTTGGGACTAAAAACCTGCAACACTGGAAATGTCATTTTACTGACTGGAATTAATAATCTTACTTTATACTACTTACATTAAGTAGTCTATGTTCATTACACTACAACCATCATCCTAATATAAAAAGAACCTACTGCAATACTAAAATCTTCCAGATTGCATCTGTTATAGGGGATCTAACATTAAAATGCGCAAGAGAAGTGCGATGTGTGGACATCTCGGCTAGTGGAGATACGCAAACACAAAAGTTGTTGTTACTAGACAAGCCAGACATTGTTGTGGCCACTCCGTCACGAGCACTTGTACATTTGAAAGCAAATAACATGAGACTGAAGGATGATCTGGCGATGCTAGTAGTGGATGAAGCGGATTTAATATTCTCCTTTGGATATGAAGATGAAATAAAAGAATTGTTAAGGTGAGTTTGATTTTTAGCCCAATGTATAAGGTATATTAAGATAAAGATAAAGAAGCCTTTATTTCTGTACTATTATACATTATTATTTTATTTATTTATTTTTATTTTTGCTACATTCATGTTCATTCATATTATTATATTATACTTTAAATTTATTATTATTATATATATATTTTTACTATTATTATTTGTTGTAGTTTATTTTTTATGTTTAATTATTAATTTCATTATCTATATTATATCCTGCAGTACAGAGTGCCTTATGGCAAAGGCCTCCTCTAATTCCTTCCATATAAGGTATATTACTATATTAAAATTAAAATTAAAAATATCTTAATTCATGTAGTTTTATTACAGACTTATGATATGTCAAATCTACCATCAGTTCAGAATGCTTTGGAGATGAGAAAGACTGACAAGAAACTTTGCTCCTATTATTTTTAAATAAATGTTGTAAATGTTTACAATAATACAGATTCAGTTTTAAATTCAAATTTGGGAGAATATACCAAATAGTCTAATTAGTGATTGTAACTTGAACAGACCAGTGGGTCTATTTGAGCACTGTAAAGTTTTATCAAAATCCATTCAGTAGTTTTTGCGTGAAAGAGTAACAAACATTCATCCATTCATCATCATCTTCATAATCATCATCATCATCATCATCATCATCATCATCATCATACCGTCAAACACACTCATTCACGTTTATAATATTAGTATGTATTACTTTTATTATATATTACTGTTATTAACCCCATAAATTATATTCTAAAACATTCATTTATATATTGTTTATTTACAGCCATCTACCAAAAATTTACCAAGCCGTACTCGCATCAGCAACATTATCGGATGACGTGTTAAGTCTTAAGAAAATTGTCCTCCGTAATCCTGTCACATTGAAATTGGAAGAGCCAGAACTAGCTCCGTCGTCACAGCTGCAGCATTACCATTTGTTTGCTGAGGAGGATGACAAAGCAGCTATATTGTATGCTCTGCTGAAACTGAACCTCGTGCGAGGAAAGAGTATAATTTTCGTTAGGACTGTGGACAGGTGTTACAAGTAAGTTATTCATTTTTAACATAATATAATATTATTTATATTTTATATAACTATCAATATCAGTTATATGTATGTTAGTCTGTAAGGCATTTATAATATGGGCAATGGAATTAATAACCCTGGACAATTAAAGCAGAGCTTGTATTGTGGGACTAGACAACAGATATAAATAAAATACAATATTGAAACTTCTTGTACTATTATGCTGAAACAGTCATACGGCCCATCTGATGGTAAATGGTTACCACAGCCATGAACGCCTGATACAACAGTAGTGTTGCCTTCACGCTGCGGACCTTTATGAAAAAACACATTTCATATGCTAAAATGTGACTACTTGTGAAATAGGGATAAAAATGATTGAAATTGGTGTGACTTAAAAAACCACATTTCATGTAATAAAATGTGAACATTGGTGACGTGAGGGGGAGACAAAAATGATTGAAATTACTGTGACCTAAGGGGCCATACGGATGGCCTCTTAGGGGGAAGGAAAAGGAGGTTGAGGAGGTTTTGAAATGACTGAAATTGTTATGTCATATTTATGGATGGTCCCCAAAAGGATTGAACCCGCAACCATCGATAACTGACTCACTGTGCTACAATACCAACGTCTTTTTTCCAGACTCAAACTCTATTTAGAACAGTTTAAAATTGCGTCGTGTGTGCTGAATTCGGAGCTTCCAGCGGCAGTGCGGTGTCTATCCGTAGACCAGTTCAACCGTGGCCGGTATCAGATCATTATAGCATCAGACGAGAAAGCCTTGGAGAAGCCTGATGGCGGTATACTGCCCATAGAGGAGAGAACCAAAAAGAAAAAGGTTTTTTATATATAACTGTCTGTCATTAAAAATGAAAGTTTCGGTGGGTTTATCATACCGCCTGACTACCGTTGATCGCGGCTTCGAGTCCTCGCACGTTGCAAACATTTGTATTCATGAGTATGACTGTTTGTATTAGTCTGTGTGTTTTCTATGTATATTATATGAGTATTAAAAAAAACAGTTCTCTGACGGTCGAATAACATCAAAGATATAGCAGGAGACAATTATATGAGTGCATTTGTAGTCACAAACAGAAAATCATAGAGCATGCTAGAGGAGGCTTACCCAAATGGTACCCATAAGGATACAAAATTAAGTTATAAAAATATACATGAATGGAAAAATAAAGCTTTCATAAATATCAGTTGTCTAGGAGTGATATGTAAATTTACACAGCCCAATCTAGTCCCATGCTCAGCCGACATGAGACTAGATGGCGCTCGTAATTTTTTCTGGGTTGATATTTGTTAGAAATATAAGGCAAATTTAATTCTCACAAATGTTACTAGATGTAATAAAAGTAAAACTCGCCATCGTTTCGTTTTGTGTAAATTCAGTTGAGGTGCTGTCATTTTTTTTTTAATCTAGGTATATTTTGGGGTTTTTTTTTTCAGACATGTCAACCCCATTATTGCGAACTAATCGGAACAATTCTTAAAAATAATAAACAATCAAATAATTGCCAAATGCGAGGGATCTATTTATTAAGTTGCTTTTATCAGTGCACACAACCGCAGAGCAATATCAGTAGTAGAGGCATGTAGTATGCTCTGAATAGTACCCACATCAAATTTGTTGATTTTAAAATCTTTAATAAATAGTTCCCTCTCTACTCTATTCCTATTACATTCCATCAAGAGGTGCTGGAAGGTGCTGTCATGATTTGCATTTAATCGTAGAATGTTCAAGAATGTTGTACGGTTCTATCAACCTAAGTGTACCTGTATTTGTGAACGACCAATTAACCATATATAGACACATATATAGATCCTTAGGACAAGTTTTTCAGTGTTTGGTTTATAGTTAGGCACGGTCTATTTTTAGGTGAATATACTATATATGTAATATTATATTATCTGTGCTATAATATATATGTTGGCCTAATCTGTTTGTACTAACATTATTATTATTATTAATAACAATCCCGCACACTCCGTTCCGCCTATCAGTACAGTTATTATTTGTTGTTTTTATTTCTCTATGCAACTTATTCATATTTTATCACCGTTTAAGCCTTCCACTTTAATGAATATTAAGACTAAAATCAGCCAAATCGGTTCATTCTCGAAAAAATATATATATATAAAATAATTATTTCATAAAAATTATTAAATATTTAACTTTCCAGCAAGCTTCAAAGCGAAGAAAGGACAAAGAGTCTGGTGTGTCCCGCGGTATAGACTTCCAGCACGTGGCTAACGTTATCAACTTCGATTTCCCTCTAGATGTGAACTCATACGTACATAGAGCTGGTCGCACCGCCAGAGGCAATAATCAGGTAAACACATTGTTTTTAATATAACTGAAATGTCATAGAAATTAATGTGTCACTTGGTGCTTTGTGAATAAACATGAACAGCATTACGGATATAGCGCCTTCAATTTCTCGTCCAATTCAAACTGGGATCGAAATTACAACAGCCTACATTTTCCTATTGTTATTTAATATATACTACGACCTCGGTGGTCTAGCGATTTAGTACACCGCTTTACGTCCGATGGTCGCGGGTTCGATTCCTCGCACGACACATACATTTGTATTCATGACTATGATTGTTTGTATCGGTCTGGGTGTTTCCTATGTATAATATGTATGTATTTACGAAAAAGTATATATCTATGTATTTGTATCAGTTGTCTAGCACCCATAATACAAGCTTTAGGTAGCTTAACTTGGGTCTAGATGGCGCTGTGTGAATTGTCCTGAGATTATTATTATACTAGCTACTCGCCCCAGCTTCGTACGGGTGTATATGTATAATATATAGAAACCACCCTCTTGTGTCACTCTATCTTTTAAAAGAAAACACTTCATAATCCGTTGCGTAATTTTAAACATTTAAACATACATAGGGACGGACAGACAGCGACAGCAACTTTGTTTTATACTATGTAATGAAGATCAATATTTTTATGTACATTTTGTCAGTCCATTATCATCTCTAATATACATCGTCTCGAGAACTCAAGATATACTCAATTTCTTTATGGACTTAGTCGATCTCGCTGTGATGACGAAACTACCTAAGTCGTAGTTTATAGCTTCATCTTTTTCATTTTCGACCGCATGACATGCGGTATTACAATAAAAGCTACTCTAGTATTACAATAAAAGCAACGGTAAAAGCTATTCTAGTCTAAGCTATTCTACTAGATATGCCCGCGGTTCCACCGTGAAATTTATAGTCTATATGTTATTCTGACGTATAAGCTATATTACTGTAAAGTTTCATAGAAATCCGTTCAGTAGTTTTTGCGTGAAAGAGTAACAAACATTAATTGTTACATTTACAATTAATAAGATTATACCCTCAGGGTTCAGTGCTGTCGTTCGTTTCAATACGCGAGAAGCCACTGATGGACGCGGTGGAGGCACACCTATCAAAAGGGTTCAATAGTCAGAAAGTTCTACAGTAAGTACTATATTTATACAGATACATTAGCGCGGGGTTTCAGCCCCGTTAAATTTCAATATAAAATCTAGCCTATGTGTCATTTTGATGCATGATCTATATTACTGTAAAGTTTCATCAAAATCCGTTCAGTAGTTTTTCGTGAGTAATAAACATCTATACTCATAAACTTTTGTGTTTATAAGATTAAGATATTACTCATTTAATGGCGACGTCGTTGGTGTAGTGGTGTAACATGTTGTTTCATCTTGCGATTGTCGCGACTTCATTTCCCGTACAATAAATTAATCAGTCATCTGGATGAAATATCCTTACAAACATTCGCGTTTATAATATTATTACGATTAGGATATATACAACGGCGGATCCAGGGGGGTCATGGGGGCCATGACCCCCCTCCCTGAGCCCAGGACTTAGGTGGACCACTTGAATTGAACATTATGATTTTATTTATATATTTTGTCACCATACAGATTTTGTGTAACTACATACCTTCAATATTTAATTAATTATATTTAAATAGTGCCTCTCTGGACGTCTTCAAGAGGAGATGGCGATATGTATGTGTATATGTACAAGTTATTATGTGTTAAGTTTTGCAAGTGTACAATAATGAATAAATATTTTTAAGTACAGTACTTACGTACCATATTAAAATACCTACTTTTACTTGTATCTATTGTTATCAAAATTAAATTATAAGTTCATGACTTGACCACAACTATGTGACTCCCTCCTGGCGCCAAAACTGAATCTGCCCTTGGATATATCTATATTTAACACGTTAACTGCCAACTACGAGAGAATATTATATTGCATTTTTTTCTAAGACACTACTTACGCGTTATTTCATCCTGTATTTACTTGGCATTTGTGCAGTGTACCTATGTATATATCAGTGCAAATATAGATACATACGGCTGAGCAAACCATCATTGCTCTCAATAATATATTTTCGTAAGTTATAATTTTAGTAAGAGTCGTACTGTTGTGCAGGAAGTACGAGTTTGCTCTAGAGGAGGTGGAGGGATTCCGGTACCGGTCTCGAGACGCGTGGCGCGCCGTCACCCGCATCGCGGTGCGAGAGGCGCGCCTCAAGGAGATCAAGCAGGAGCTGCTCAACTGCAAGAAGCTGCAGGTCTGTACCACGCCCCGCTATTTTTTATTTATTTTTTATTGGGGTGTCTGGTCTGTTGCCAGGTGCTACGTACACTGGGGTCTGTATAGATCTATTGTACTCGACTTTGTCAAAGTTTGCTACCGTACCCTTAGTGTAAGGGATAAGAATTGAAGGATATTCCAAACCTGCTGTTATTTCTCCACGTATCTGTTGAGAGTAAACTGTTGTAGTTATATTAAAAAGATGCGCTTTATAAAACAAATAGCTTTTGTCCGGGGCTTGGCTCGCGTTAATTTATCCCCTTAGTGGTGGAATTTATCAAAATCCTTTCTTAGGGGATGCCTACGTCATAGTAGCTTTATGCATGCAAAGTCTCAGTCCGATCGGTTTAAAATTGACGAAGTTTCATACAAACTTTCATCCCTTATTTTATCTCCTTGGGGGTAGAATTAATCAAAATCCTGTCTTAGCGGATGCCTGCGTCATAACATCTACCTGCATGCCAAATTTCAGCCCGATCTGTCCAGTGGTTTCGTCTGTGCGGTGATAGATCACTATGTCAGTCACAGTTATATACATTTAGATTTCAAAATAAAGTTTAAAAAATATTTATTGATAAAATGCTTATCACTGAAATGCCTAGACCGATTTTGACGGGACTCTTTTTTGTTTTTTGGCAGGTAGTTGATGTAATAAGGAGTAACTTAGGCTACTTTTATTTCAGAAAAAATATTTTTTCTTAGAAAAATAAAGTTAAATTCCACGCGGACGAAGTTTCTACCTTATTGTTGAGTTTTTTAGTAAATGACAAATATTGTAGCTCAATTTAGAAATTACTATTATTAGTGTTGGTAACATTACTTTTATTATTGTTACCGGGAGGGATATTATTATTATTAATTTATGGCCATTGTTTAGATTTTAGAATTAGATAATAAATTTGTATTTTCAATTCGAAATTTATTTTTAAGAATTATCTTATACATATATAAAATTTTCGTGTCACAATTTTAGTTACCATACTTGTTCGAAACGGCTTGTCTGACTTTAACGAAATTTTACATGCATATTCAGGAGGTCTGAGAATCGGCTACTATCTGTTTTTCATACCTAAGGTTTGGGGATCCCTAACATTTTTATCTTTGGGACAATCATATATTTTATTTTTTTATAAATTAGCATTAGAAAATATATACAACCCAAAATTTTTACCCTTCTACTATCAACCCCTATTTTTTAATAGCGATATTAATTTATATGGCAAGACAACATTTACCGGGATAGCAAGTAGCTGTCTGTATGTACATATATTTAACTATGGAGGCAATATATTGGGGTAATATTGCCTCCATACCTGCCACTCTCCTATTAGGGTAGGTTATAAATATGATGACTCATACATAACATAATACATTGATGAATGTCTAATCTTCTCTCTGAATATGAAATCTCCACACAAATCTATTGTATATTATTGATAATAATATTTCTAACAGTTTAATCTCATTATCAGGGCTATTTCGAAGAGAATCCATCGGATTTGGCAGCTCTAAGAAGAGATAAGGCGCTCCACACAGTAAAACTGCAGCCTCATCTCGCACATATACCAGAGTACCTGCTACCAGCCGCGTTGAGGAGCGAAGAACCAGCAGACGCAGACCAGGAAGCAGAACCGGCACCGCCAGCTAAGAAGAAGAAACACAATAAGAACTACGAGAATGCGAAGAGATTGAAATATCAGGTAATTTTTAGTTTTTCTCTTCTTTTTTCTTTGTCCAACCCATGTTCCCAGTTTATCTGGGGTCGGCTCTCCCTGTACATATGCGCCAGAGAACTCTGTTCTGGGTTGTCTGTATATTAAGATTGTCCTGGTCCATCTGCTTCTTAATATTATTCCACCAAGTGGAGCGTGGCCCCTACCTCTGGTCGAGTTTGGTATCTTAAGCACTTTTTTAACCACGTAATCATCTTCGCGTCGTTGAATATGGCCATACCAGCGTAAGCGACTTTCTCTCAGTTTTTCCACGATACGAGCTACGTGGCGGAGTTTATCCAAGCGTGTCACACCACCAGACCATCTCAGTATTTTTAGTTTTTGTCAAATTTTCATGTTTAATTAATTCGTCTTTGGAGGACAGGTTTGTATTTAAATGCCGTCGATGACTTTGATTTCTTTTTAATGTAATAATATACTAATTTACTAAAACATATAGAATAAGATACCTATTAATTTTATTATAAGTAAATTATTTGAGACTAATAAAGATTATTATTATTAAATAACAATGCCACTAACTTGATAGTCATATTTTTTTATGGATGATAATGGAATGGTGCTCCCGCCTGCGCTACGCCTGCGATTTACGCTAGAGGGGCACCAGTGAAGGATGATAAGATGAGCATGAGGTCAGGTCAGTTAGCCCATCGTGACATTCACCAAGAATTTATAACGATGGTTTCCAGGGGTACCACGGGGAGGTCAACCTAACATGGTACATTGTTAGCAATAAGATCATCAGTCCACATTACTAACAACCCCCTTTCCTATCGGATAGTAATAAAAATATTTTTTGTAACAGTGATACCACTAATGCGTTACCATTCCAGAGGTCCAAGATATTGTATCTCCATACCTTACCATACCTATATAGCCTTTATACGTTAATTTATTTTCTTATGCAATAAATAATATAAAATCTCCCATAAAATGTGGAAAATAGTAGAATGTACCGTATTTTTAAATCGCATTATTGTTTGTTGTTTTAGGCACGAAGAAACGATCCACTGAGGAGTCTCAACGTGAAACCAAGCAAAACAACCTCCACCGGCGACACATAGCCTTTGTTAGTATCCGAACGGACTATGGAACTCATGTTATAAATTTTTGTAAACAACAGTTGTATATTTTTGACAAATTTTTTATCAAGATCTGTACAGTTTCCAAATAAAATGTGTCTTATGTTGTGTTTTCTTTGCACACAGTGCGCGCGGGGCCGCGACTCGTGGTCGTCTCGTATGGTTAGTTAATGGATTCGGTTAGTACCGTCAGTGCTCAGTGTTGCCCTGCTCGTGGCATTAACGCAATAAAATTATGTTTATTACCTTTTCTCTTGATTTTTCTTTATTTATGTTTGGGAGTATCAAAAATCAAGTCAAATAAATATCAAAGAATTCTTTTTTATAGTCTAAATGAACACCCCGTTATTTAGACTATAAAAAAGAATTCTTTGATATTTATTGACTTGATTTTTTAAATTATTATTTGAAATTGTTTGGTTATGTTAAAACTAGGTTAAAAATATGGATGGATTGTGTGAAAGATTATATGGTATAAAAGGAAAGTAAAGATATGATGGCTGATAAGGATCAGTGGAAGAATAGTGCGCCAACCACAAATGATGGGATAAAGGCGATGATGATGATGTTAAATCCAGTTATTTATTAAGCCTGTGTTGAAGCAGATGTTTTTAGTTTTATATTACTTGAATTCTTTGCAGATTACATCTAATACTGTAGGAAGTAATAAAATTTCAAACAATTGGATGTGTATAAGGCAATAAATTCATATATCATCTTTAATACAAACTTGCTTACTGTGTTTTAGTAAAACATCTACTTTAGTACTACATGGAAGTATACTAAAGTTTCCAAAAGCTTTTAGAATTGAGAGATTATATGCCTATTACTTGCTCCATCATTGTTAGAATACTTATTCATTCGCTACAGTCCAATTTATAAATATACTAACAGATCCGGCCACGCGTTATGTGGCTAAGGTTCTTTAATAATAATATTGCAACTATAAATTGAGATGTAAACTATCCTATCTTTCAAATTGGATCAAATTGCACACACTATGTAATTCAAATTTGCAGTTGGTTTAATGGTTAAACACGTAATTTTTATATATAAAGATTAGGATAAACGGTGGTTGATTAAGGTAAGTTTAAAAATAGTAATAATTTACCTAAATAATTAACTCACAATATCCTACATAAATACATTTGAATTCATAATCCAACTCTATGAACAACTGAAATTTTACAGCCGCGACATTTTGAGAAGTAGATATTTTAATTGAGCATATAAAATTAACGTAATTTATTAAACTCGCTAAACTAGTAATAATCGAGTGTCTATTGAACTTGCTTAGAGATTGTTGTATTTTGGGGGAGTAAAAAGTATGTCAAGAATTGTTCTCTGTACTTTATTAGGACTATGATCTTTGTACTTCAGTATTGGAATAGAATATTTCGTGCAATAGTAAAAAGTACAACGCGAATAAGTGACACTAAATTACTGCTGCGAAATTAGTATTTGTATTATTTAATAATATAATAATCTTTATTAGCCAATAATACAGTACATTTACGATATTACGAACTACACAAAATAGACATGCAAGTCTGTATCGTGTGATTCATATATCTTTAAACCTATTGGTATGTTAGATGCTCAGTTGATTTAAATAAAATTACTCAGGATCTCCTCATTGTATAATGAGGTAATTGGTTTAAATTTAGATTATTAACATTATAGTAAACTACTTATGAAATATTCTTTAATTAGGATATACTATTCGAACGTATAATTATTGATAATCCTCATTAATCAACAAGTCAATATAATTACAAAAATGGGACTTTTATTTTATTTAAAAACATAGATATTTGAAGTAACATTTATAGATACGCAATGAAAATAATATTAACTATTAATTCATAGTAAATTAATAACTTTAATGAACTTAAAAAGTCATGTTTTTTATTTTTCTTCTCAACTAAAATTTGAGATTTACGACCAAATTATTTATAAATTGAATAACTTTTCTTCAGCTATGTAATTTACAATTAACTTGGTACATTTACAAGTACGTAATTACTAATCGGCAAACTGCAATAAACATCTCTGATTCTGTTCTTAGGTGAAATGAATCACGATTTAATTTTGGCTATACCTCGCCCGATGTACTATTATTACTATTCAAACATGATTATTTAAAAGCTTTGCTTAAATTTAAGTTTATTTGTATTATATTGAAAATGAAATCAAGTCTTTGTATATTTCATACAATTTTACAACGTTCCTACAATGACTTAAAAACTTATCTAAAGTTCATGATAGCGCGATGTTCTACTACTATTCAATCATAACTATGACTTTAAAAATGCTTAAATTTAAGTTTATTTATTTATATTCCATTGGAAATGAAATCAAAAGTTCTTGTTATTTCGTACATTTTTACAACATTGTGGTACAATGACTTAGTGACAGTCACTTAACATTTAACGATATTCATAAATTTATTTATTGGAAGGACAGCGCAGAACGCATGTCCAACTACCAAAAATTACACGTACGACGAACCCCAGTTTGGGATGGTCACAAACTAGCTAATTCCAACCTCAGTGCAATGGTTGGAGCCAGTCCGGGGCAACCGCCTTCGTGATCACGGTACACCCTACGCAAGGTTAGTATGCCCGTACTGGCCTTGCGTGGCCTTATGTAGTCTCGCGCGGAAATCTTAATACCGCGTTTTAATTATTTATATAGTGACATCTATTGACACAATTCGGAATTTTTGATTAGGGTTACTAGTACTAAAAATTGTTTATGAGAAAAATGTTTATACATTGAAATAAGTATTGTGTTAAAAATAATTGCGTAATAATATTATGATTACTTATAAAAAGGTAGAATGCAAAAAAATCTTCCAGAAACATGAAAGGTACATTATCACTTCAGCAAATAATAGACTGTTTTTTATTTTTAATAAATGATAGATAACTATAGTCGTTGATCAAATAGCCACTAAACCTAAGTTTTAAATGTGTTCAAAAGAGATCTGCTATCTAGTTACCTAATAAAAAACTTGTTGTTTTTTTTCGAATTAGAACAAATGTTTTTCATGAAATATTTATTAGTTTTTTTTATTTATACAGATTTTGAATATCGTTTCTTCTTAGTGTTTTCTTTTAACAATATCTTAGAATCGCTAAATGCTCGTCGTATAGATGTCGTTGGCTGACGATTGGTTATGTTTGTATCTGATTGCAGAGAGGACAACGGGCGGTTTAGATAATATCCATACGGTCCCATTTCACGACGTTGCCATGGGCTGGTTGTGATCCTAGAAAAAAAATAATGTTATTATATTTTTCTGCAAATTATAATCTTAAATACTAATATACGTGATGCTTCTAATTTATGCTAAAATTTATTCAATTAGAAATTAATAGTAATAGGTTAGCTTCAGAAGTTATCAGATAAGTAGTGTTTGGAAAATATTATACGATCAGTTTCTATTTATAAATGTAAAGTATTTGTATATTAGGTATCATTTTATTGATAGTGTAATAAAGCCTAATATTAAGGTTATATTAAAGTATGTACTCTAAAAGTTATGGAACAGATTAAACAATATTTTCTACTTTATAATATATAGATTTCTTATAGATATTTATATATGTAATATAAAATTTATTTTACAGAAATTAATCTAAATAGCAAAGAACTAGTGCTATTTTGTTTAGTTGCTACAATATCTCCGTTTTGTTTGCCTTTTAAGTGGCAACGAAGATAGAACTTCTCTATCCTTATGTGCCAATGCATGCTTGATCAAGCTGTTATAGATTACACAGTCCATGTATTTTTACGTAGCAATAATGTATCTGTGGTCGTTTACGTTCCGTTACACTTAGCGGAGTTGTAAAACTTAGAAAATTCATTTTATTTATAATATGATTTAATGACGATCCGTTTACATTATTTATATTTTAATAAGAAATTAATTGTTAACGTGGGTTGTAATTCAGATTAGGTGCAGCAAAATGTGAATTTGAAATCTTGAGTTTGTTAGAACGTCGACTATTGACAATATAGGTATTTGTGGAGCCAATTATTGTTATATATAAAATAATATCAAATTTTTTGTTTCGGCGGTCTAGCGGTTTCTATATTTCCGGTGGTTCGTTCCTCGCACGATATAAACATTTGTATTCATGAGTATGATTCTTTGTTTTATATATAATTTTATAAAATGTATTTTGTACACGTATACATCAATGATTATTATAGATTTATTTTATTAGAAATGCACTAAGCTCAAGGCTAGTGTCGCAGAAATTAGAAACTTCAATTTAATACTGGCTCCAGTTCAACTAGGTACAAAACTTACCAATATCAGAAAATAATTTATAAAGAACATGTACATTTCTATTAGTTGTTTAATACACATAAAACAAGCTTTGCTTAGCTTGGTACTAGATGGTGCTTTTGAATCGTCCTGAGTTATTATTGTTATCTAACCATATCATAAGCGGCGGTACGTCTGGCCTGGGCCTGGTGTGGATGTAAACAGCCAGCGGTGCCACACCACACATCCAAATCAGCCATTGCTGCATTATCTTTTTACCATCACCATCTTTCTCTGACATCAATTCGTCTTCCTAAGGAAAAAGCGTTGATTATCAGTTCTATTCTTATTATTTTTATACATCAACAGCCTTGGTCTAGTGGTTTAGCATACAGCTTTTCTACCGATGGTCGCGGGTTCGATTTCTCGCAGGGTCAAACATTTGTATTAATGAGTATGAATGTTTGTATCGGTCTGGGTGTTTTCTATGTATATTATGTATGTATTTACAAAAAATATCTAAGTATTTATATCAGTTATTCATAATACAAAGTTCTTAAATAGGGACTAGATGGCACTGTGTGAATTGTTCAGGGATAGATATTATTAATATTAAGGATGGTAAGGAAACATGGATTGCCTGATAACAGGCGATGGGCGATACTAGGCTAATGCTTCTGGGATTTCAGACGCTTGCAACATCTAAAGCTGATGTTTCACCTGCAGATCTTAAATTGGGACCGTAAGTCCCCAGTAATATTCATCCGTTGATATACAAAACAAATGCACATTGTTGCTTCAATTTATATAGCAAGAATATAAAATAAATCTAAGTGTACTCATTGACCGATTTGTTGTGGAACAATAAACACTTAAACAAACTTAATATTTCTTACGGCATTCCTCTCAAGAACAGAGTAACAGTACAGTGTTGCCATTACATGTTTAAAACTTAAACACAATTATTGCCAGTCTTTATTATAATTATCATAATTAAAAAAAATAACATTTATCTATTTTATTCTAAATCTAGGTGTATCGAATGGAGACACTGGTCTTCATAGTTAAGGAAGCTAACAAAATTGAAGGAGGAGGTTAGGCAATTTCTAGATTATTGTGTACTAGCTACCCACCCCGGCTTCGCACGGGTGTACATGTATTATATATATAAACCTTCCTCTTGAATCACTTTATCTATTTAAAAAACCACTTCAAAATCCGTTACCTAGTTTTAAAGATTTAAGCATACATAGGGACGGACAGACAGCGACAGCGACTTTGTTTTATAATATGTAATAATGAAGTTTGTTAGTTTACATAGAACTTTTAGTACACGAACTGCGTACTAGATGTCGCTGTGTTAAAAGTAGACGGCGATATTGTTTCGTTTTGTTACGTGTATATGTGTAATCCCTTTTTTAAAAATAAATTTTCGTATCCGTCAGGCAGGAGTTAGCCTTCAGCCGCTCCATAAGTCCTTCCGCGGGTTTGGAGTGCCATCTGTACTCGCCCCCTAACGTCCGGTGAAGCTGTGAAGGCCAGCTGCGGCCAACAGCATTAGAGTAGTCCGAAAAAAAAGAAATAAATTTAGTTCAGTAATCTTACACTGGTTGTTTAATTTATTTATCAGCAGAGGACGCTGTGGTAGTCCATACTTTAGTGTTAGGTTGTACAGATCTTTGGTCTAATACCTCAAATATATAAATTAAAATCTGTAATAATACTTCTTCAGTACAGCCAATGCTCGAGAATTTATAATAGATACTAAATTTTGTGTAACTTACGTCCTCATAACAATATTCGACTAGCAATTTTATCACCTTCACCAACACTACCCAGAAGTGGAGACTGTATATCACCATCCAGATGAAGAGTAGGTTCTGAAACATTAGTTCACTATTAAAAACTGGAAGAGCAAAATTTTTTTGTTGATGATGGCAAGTAATAGAAGTATCACAGTCTTATTTATAGTGCTGTTCGTATATATAGGCGATGCTTCATTTATTCATTTACCACCAGATTGACCGACAACTGAGTTTGTTGTCATGTCAGTTGTTTAGCACACCGCTTTACTTTCGATAGTCGCGGGTTCGATTCCACGCACGAAACAACATTTGTATTAATTACTATAATTGTATCGGTCTGGGTGTTTTCTATGTATATCATATATGTATATATTTCCAAAAAAATGTATCTATATTTATATCAGTTGGTTGGTACCCATAACATAAATTCTTATGAGACGCAAAGAAATGGAAGTGTACCGAGTATTAGCACAACTACAACTGTAGACAAAACATAAGTTTTGCTTAGATTGGTGCTAGGTGGCGCTGTGTGAATTGTCCTGATTTGTTGTATATATTATTGTATTTTTATATAAAAATAAAAGTAGCACTAAAATAATGTTCGCACTGAGCCATTGATATGGAAATAGTGTCCGCAAATATTATAGCTTCTTAGCAATTCTTGCTTAATGTACACTGCTGTATCTTCACATAGCTCGACATTGCTTCAGTATTACATGACGTAGCTTGGCTTCGCTTAGTATTGCATGGCATGAATTGATTTATTTTCATTACAAATTTCTTTATAAACTTCTACTGGAAATTTTATAGAGAAAACAATAGCTTTTACTGGTTAATAAGTACTCGTATATATAAATTTACTTATTTGTAGTAAATAAACTGGAAAAGACCAGTAACGCTTTATCTTTTGCTTTACGCTTATTTTAACTATGTATTTAGTGTAGGGACAATGTTCTGGTGCAATACACTTGCGTCTGAGCGCAACCGATGGCGACAGCTGGTCGACAAGATCGTGTAGAGTCGCAATCCTGGGCAGTGAGGGAATGATCAAGAAGAAATGTTATAGTTATCAAAAAAGGGATGGATGGATTTTGTGGCAGATGATATGGCAGTGAGGCAAGAGTGACTCCCCTGAATTACCTCCCCATTACCTCCAATAGAATACGGCGTGAAAGGGAGTGAATAAAGATATGACTGCGAACAGGGATGAATGGAAGAGAAAAACATTACGCGGACAAATAAGTTGGATAAAGAAGAACCAGAAGGTGATATATAATAGTGAGGCAAGAATGACTCGCCTGAAGCATTACCTCCGAATATACCATGAAAGGGAGTGAATAACGGAATAACTGCGAACAGGGATGACTGGAAGAGAAAAACATTACGTCGACCACAAATAAATGGGGTAAGGAAGAAGTAGATGGTGATATGTTATGATGAGGCAAGAATGACTTCCCTGAAGCTTTACCTCCAAAGGATACGGCATGAAAGGGAGTGAATAACGAGATGACTGGGAAAAGGGATGACTGGAAGAGAAAAACATTACGTCGACCACAAATAAATGGGGTAAGGAAGAAGTAGATGGTGATATGTTATGATGAGGCAAGAATGACTTCCCTGAAGCTTTATCTCCAAGAGGTTACGGCATGAAATGGAGTGAATAACGAGATGACTGCGAACAGGAATGAATGGAAGAGAAATATATTACGCCGACAAATAAGTGGGATAAGAAAAAAGATGGTGATATGTAATAGATATATATATCTCCTAGAGGATATGGCATGGAGTGAATAACGAGATGACTGCGAACAGGAATGAATGGAAGAGAATAACGAAAGGATAAGGAAAAAGTAGATGATATATATATGTAAGGTAAGAATAACTCGCCTGCAGCATGACCTCCCAGAGTGGAACCCGCCGGAACAAGAATCGTCGAAACAGTGCTGTGAGAAGTCGGTGGGCCAGCGATGCCGCTCCTATTGCCCACAGAAGAGTTGGTACCGTCGATAGTACGCCTTCCCCGCATTTCGATGATTCAATCAACTGTGAAATGTAGATTTATTAAATTCTTGTAGATTTAATAAATGTAGATATATTAGTTCTTCACAATTGGATCTATATACCGAACTGGACGGTAGGGAAAAAAAAATAAAATTAGAATGAAAAATTTGACGTTCATAAGCGGCTAAAATGTCCTACATGAATAAATGATTTTTGAATTTGAATTTGAAATGAAATATATTCTTTATTGCACTTTTAAATACAGTTCTGAACTTAAATATATACAGAGTGAGCAAAGTTGGACTTATCTCTAAAAGAGATCTTTACCAGTCAACCCAACAATGAGGCATAGCTAGTAGAGAGTAGGTAACACCTGTGCAATTAACAATATTCTGTTGAAATGTCCAAAAGTTGAAAAAAATAAAACATTTAAAATATTGATAGATAAAATGTTTGCCCTTTAAGCAGTTAGCCAAACATAAGCGATAGATATATAAAGAAATTATAATAGCTGAAACGTGCAACTTCGTCTGCATTATACTTACTTCATATTTCATCCAATTTACAGAGCATCTTTTATAAGTTATTGCCTATATGTCATTCTGATGTATAAGGTGTATTACTGTGAAGTTTTATCAAAATCCTTTCAGTAGTTTTTGCAAAAACTTAAAAAATCTTTCGCGTTTCTAATATTAATAAGATATATAAACTGTTATTATCGTTAAAGGCACAATCACAAGCGACAGTATAAAAAAATAAAAATACCCCTAAATACAGGGTCAGTGAGATTATTTCGAGTAATGAGGATTAGTGACCCCATTACGAATTACGATCAATATTATTATATATATAAAACTGATAGATAAAACTTTTATTTGCGTTAAAAGGTACACACACAAGTTACTGTAATATAAAAAAAAACAGTAAATATACAATTGCATTGGTTACCATTAGTCATACAAGGGAATCATAAAAGGGAGCATCTCAGTGTATTATTTGCTCGAGCAGTAAACAAAAGATTTTCAGGTATAAAAGTAAATACATCAAAATTGAAATGACAAAGTTTTTGTTTGTCTGTCTGTTCCTGCTAATAATTCCTGTAACGGCTGAACCGATTTTGGGACTAGCACTCGCTGATACCTAATAGTATAAAGGGTAACTTAGGCTACTTTTATGTTAGAAAATTTATTTATGTTAATAAAACAGTTGATTTTCATGCGGACAAATGGCGGTTAAGAGTTAATACAAAAAAGTTGACGTTCATAAGCGGCTAAAATGTCCAAAATAATTTTTTATTTAATTTGAATTGTAGAGAATTTTCCTCGGCTAGTTCTTTGTTACCTTACCTCGTAGACTCCAGAATGTAAATAAATCCATATAGAGTCTTGCCACATTACAAAAATACGTATAAATGTTGTTAAATGAATTACATTTGGATGTAATAATTAAAATTCTAATATAAATGTGTGTTTCATAATTGATTTCTATGAAAACATCGTCGGCATATTTCGATCATGTTCTGACATGTTGTCATTGTAACATTGACAAAATGTCATTTTTTCAGTGTCTCAAGGTACAGTTGTTGATTTTTTAAACTACAGTCATTTGAATAACAAATAACTACTCTAATTAAAGTAGGTATTTTTACCAGGTTATTCAGAACAGATATTTTTTTCTTTTTTTTCGGACTACTCTAAAGCTGTTGGCCGCAGCTGGCCTTTACAGCTTCACCGGACGATAGGGGGCGAGAGCAGATGGCACTCCAAACCAAAGGAAGGACTTATGGAGCGGCTGAAGGCCAACACCCGCCTGACGGATACGACTTTAGTCTGAGGGCACCAAGTCTATTTTCTGAATGTTTGCTACTACGTAACACAAGGATTTATGAAATAAGTTGTACAATAAACAATTTCTTCCAGTCAACATTTGAACTGAGAGGTATACAAGGAACTGCATTAAATGAAATAACAGTGTACAGATATATGTTTTAGGTAAATAATTTAGTGGCTACATAAAAACCCAATATTGTATTGATTTTTTCTTGTTATTTCTTCCAGTCAACATTTGAATGATCAATACTATATATCCGAGGTATAGCCGCTCCAGAAGTTGTTTTAACTGCATAGTAGTTCAAAAATATAGTTCTCCACATCTAAATAGCTACAGTGCTACAGATATATGTTTTAGGTAAATAATTTAGTGGCTACATTAAAAACCTTAATCTGAATATTGTATTGATTTTTTCTTGTTAAGATTTCTTAAATTTAATATTACTTAGGTAAGTTCAATTTTGTTATAATACAGTTAGAATATATTTGGTAGCAACCATCATTATTTTTTTTCAATAAATTTAATATTACTTAGGTAAGTTCAATTTTGTTATAATACAGTTAGAAATATTTTAATTTTTAATCCCAAATTATGTCTCTATCCTAGTATCAATACTATATATCCGTCATTCTGGAGTTATCCTTCAGCCGCTCCAGAAGTCCTTCCGCGGGCTTGGGGTGCCACCTGCACTCGGTTCATCTTCGTGTTCGAAGAAGCTGTAAATACCATATGCGGCGAGAAGCATGGGAATAGTTCAAAAATATAGCTCTCTCCACATTTATTATTTTATTGTACCTACATCCTGGTATAAAATAAAAACACAATATCTCCATAATATTTTTATTATTAACATTATCAGTCGAATGGCAATACGGCCATGTGTCTCCATGGAAAATCCTCAAAGCTCCTTTGTCTCCTTAAGAGTTGATCCGGGAGTACTACAGACGCCGGCGTTCTGTGGACCGCAACAGGAGCACCTTGTAGCCTGTAACACAAATAAATCAAATTAACACAAATGTTGACAAATAAAGCTTATTACAAAATTGGAGAAGACTTTCACTAAAAGGTGGATGTCATGTCTATGAATTAATTCATTGTATATCGTAATTGTGTAAAGCAACTTAAAGAAATAAAAATATAAAAAAATTCTTCAGTCCAGTCAGTAAACAAAAAGACAGACAGGAAGATTTTCATATTTATAATGTTAGTATAGTGGTGGAAAGGGGGTTGTTAGTAAAGGGGACTAGGAACCCATTGATAGCAATGTCGCATGGCAGGTCGACCACGCGTTCATCTCTGGAAACCAAATGTTCATCATGATGGGCTAACTGACTTTATTCCCATCCTAACATCTTCCACTAATGCCCAGCGTACATCGTGAGCGCAGGAGAATGCACCATTCCATTTCATCAATTAAAAACAATATATTAGCATTACACGAATATTGAACTTGTAATAGAAATAGAAAATGAAAAAAGGAATGTGTGCTGGGACACGTAGTAGGAGTGAAAATTCTGTGGATACCGCTCTCCGCTTCCAGCTTTTATCTTTCTCTCACAACGCAATATATCATCTACCCCCTTTATGCAACGGTAACGCTTTTTCTTGACCGAAAAACGTAATTGTATATAGAAATTTCATTTCAAAAACTTACTGCGATATAGGCTCTGAGTTTCTCAATAGCATCAGCAGTTGTTTCGCTCGACTGACTGATGAGTCGCTCGCGCAGCTCCCGGCCTTGTCTCCCGCAGGAGAGTGTGGAGTCGCTGGTGGTGCGCACTGTGTGGCCCCATGACACCTTGCTGGCGGCTCCGCTGATCTCCACCGATGACGCGTTCTTTGCGTTCCGAGGCGAAGCGCTTTCACTCTAGTTTACAATATTACGCCTAAGGCTACTATTTAACAGACATATCTTTTATCGAATCAGGTATCATTTTACGGAAGTTAGTTCAGGGATATAATATTAACAATATTTTATTTTCTACATATTGTAGTCCTTACAGTATATATATATATTATACCAATACTGTTATGTAATAATATAATAATAATAATCTCAGGACAATTCACACAGCGCCATCTAGACCCAAGTTAAGCTAGCTAAAGCTTATGTTATGGGTACTAGATAACTGATACAAATACATAGATATTTTTTTTCGTAAATACATACATATTATATAGAAAACACCCAGACCGATACGAACATTCATACTCGTGAATACAAATGTAATGTTTGTGCCGTGCGAGGAATCGAGCCCGCGACCATCGGACGTAAAGCGGTGTGCTAGACCGCTAGACCACCGAGGTCGTCAAAGTAAGCAATATTAACTTGCCTGAAGTAAATAAATAAATTACTTTCGCTGAAATTTGTACACTATATGTTATTCTGATGTATGTATAGCTATGTAAAGTTTCATCAAAATCTATTCGACCCGCGCCAATTTCATCTGGATTACACTTATTTGACATTTCTCATTATATATCCCCCAAATACATAATATATTTTTATGTCCAAAAAACAGCAATATTCATAAATATAAATATTCATAAATCCCCAAATACATAAATCTTGACTTATTTCCAAAAAACAGCAATATTCATAATATTAATACTAGATTTAAAGACAAACTTGCTGTCCCCAAGTATCGTTTAGAAAAAGTTAATAGGTCTTTTATGGGAATAGGTATAAAAATTTACAATAAGATACCAAAGGATATGTTGGAATTACCCTTAAATAAATTCAATACATCTGTTAAATCATATTTACTGAAAAAGCCTATTACTCACTAAACGATTACTTGAATGACAAATGGCAATAGTTGTTTATGTACTGAATTTTCATTTAATGTTAGACATAGACACCTATATAAAAATACATTGTAAATAAACTGGCTTTAAAAAAAAAGAAAGTAATTCAATTGAGTTTCTTGCCAGTTCTTCTCAATTGGATCTATATAATGTAAAAATTTGACGTTCATAAGCGGCTAAAATGTCCTACATGAATAAATGATTTTTGAATTTTTAATTTTGAATTTTTATGTTTTAACCTACGTGTTATTCTTATGTATAAGTTTCATTACTGTACTGAAAGAGTAACGAACATCCATCTATACTCACAAACTTTCGGGTTTATAATATTACTAGCTTTTGCCCGCGGCTTCGCTCGCGTTATGAAGTATTATTATTAGGTTTAGTTTTTGCGGCTTTACAGTAATTTCATATAAATTTTCATCACCTATTTTATCCCTTTAGGGGTGGAATTTATCAAAATCCTTTCTTAGGGGATGCCTACGTCATAGTAGCTTTTTGTATGCAAAGTTTCAGCCGGTCAGATCGGTTAAAAATTGACAAAGTTTCATACAAACTTTACTCCCCTACTTTATCCCGTTGGGGGTAGAATTAATCAAAATCCTTTCTTAGCGGACGTCTACGTCATAACATCTACCTGCATGCCAAATTTCAGAACGATCCGTCCAGTGGTTTGGGCTGTGCGTTGATAGATCACTATGTCAGTCACCTTTGAGTTATATATATTTAGAAAGGTTAAGATTTGAATTGAGTATTGATGATAAAATGTGTATAGTATGATTACGTTTGGGCTTCACTGGTGGGCTGCTGTTGGGAGAGCCCTCGCAGCCGCCGCTGGACGCAGCTGACGAAGCTGTTCACCTTCTGCATGGTGACGTGGACGCTGCGAGAGGCCCGCTCGTGCAGTTCCTCTTGCCTGACGCCACCAGCGGGCACAAATCATTACATAGTCGCCACACTGACACTTACTATTTTAATCTATAAATGAATGGTGCACCCGCCCGGGCTAACAGTACACGTTAGCGCTTGGCACCTGTACCTACTTGTAGCAGCATACAAGCACTATCTACACGTGCCACTTTAGTCCTCGTCAATGTGTGAAATTTTAAGAAGGGTATATAAAAGTTTCTTAAGGTTCGGCAACTGTTGTAGTAATAAGAAAAAAGACTTGGTAAAACGGAGAAAAATTTATATTAATATAGACTACTGACAATTAGGAATAGAAAGAATGAATTGAAGTATCAAAAAACAAGAATGTTATATAAAAGAACTATAAATTCAAATACAAATTTAGAATATAAAACATTTCTTCGCTAGCCAGTTACAACAGCAACGCGCACGTGACACCCCTGGTGTTTCAAGTGCCCATAGGCTACGGCAACCATTTACCATCACTTGGACCGCACAGTTGTTTGCCATCATAGTATTATAAAAAAAGGTATAAGTGGGTACCTGGTGTAATTATAAGATAGTAAGGATACTAACCACTGTTCCAAATATGGTATGTTGAATCTCTGACAATAGTGCTTCCTGACGTAGTCTGCATAGCATAAGGATAGGAACCAGCACACGGTGATGTGTATCTGAGGTTGTTGCAGCCGTAGGAACCTGGTGAGAGGACCTAGGGGTACTATATCGCCTTGACCCCCAAACAGCCCAGCTGTGGTCATCTCGAGCAGCATACTTGGACTCTGCGAAAATTGTTTCAAATTATTGACGGTTTCAGTGATTTAGCGGTTTAGCACACTGCCTTACATCCGATAGTCGCGGGTTTGATGCCCTGTACGGTACAAATATTTTTGTATACGAGTATGATTTGGGTGTCTTCTATATATATTATGTATGTGTATTTTCAATATAGATGTGCCTGGGGAAGAATGACTATTCGACTCCGAATGAAATGGAAGGCAGAGAGAAAGAGAGAGATTATGTATGTACTTACAAAAAAATGTATATGTACAACTACGTTATCAAAGGTAAATTTCAATTCTAAAGTGATTGTATTATATTATGAACAAATAAATTATATGAGTAATTTCTAGGATTTATAACACTGATGAATTTATAAGAGCCCAAATAAATTTTATATCTTATTTTATTATGTTATCATACTAGAAATGTTCGAAATGTGGAGTAATAAACACATTGCTAGCAACCATCTGGAAACCATCGTGATAAGTGGCATGACTTCATACTCATCTTATTCTCCACTGTTGCCCACCAGCGTAATCCGTTAGCGCAGTTAACAAATTACGATAAATGTACTTGCATCTTTTATGAGCGTGTCCAGGTAGTATTGAAAGAAGCGCATGGAGCACACCCAGAGATGTATCATCAGCGCCAGCATTCCCAGCACCATGGTGGACTGGAAAATGTTACATATGATTAGGTTATAACGACACAAACAGGGTTTTAACAATAAACAACTACTATAAAACATTATAAGAACCTAATAGATGGAGGATATGCTGAATTTTCATGTCAAAATTCGTTGAAAGTTATTTAAACTAGTTTTTAAACAAGTAATGCTCTTTTTAAAAAAATCTTAAAAGGTTACTTTAAATACTAAGGGAAAACTAATGTTTTGATCTTTGTATTAGAGTTTTTTTTTATCATCATCATCATCATCATCTCAGCCCGGAAGACGTCCACTGCTGGACATAGGCCTCCCCCAAAGATCTCCACGACGATCGGTCCTGCGCTGCTCGCATCCAATGCCTTCCAGCGATCTTGACCAGATCGTATATTTTTTTTATATTATAAATATTTTATTAAATAATAAAATATATAGTTTCAATGTATTTATATAGGTGGGAGGATTGCTAGTAATAGGAATTATTAACCCCACTGCTAGCAATTGACCACCACGCGGTACGTCTGAAAACCATCATGGTTAATTCCAAGTGAATTTGCCACGTGACCTCATGTTCATCTTATCATCCTCCACTGGTGCCCCGCCAGAGTAAACCATTAGCGCAGGCGGGTGCACTATTCCATAAAAAATATACATAGAAAATACCCAGACTAAAATCAATCACCAGAATACGAGCCCGCGATCGTCGGAAGTAAAACGGTATGGCAAACCGCTATACCAGCGAGTTATAATCTGTGGTAGGTATTTATAAAAATCTATAAACTATCTTACAATGAGAGTTTTTTCCAAAAGCGACACAGACGCCTGGTTTCCAGTTATGTAGATGGTGGCCTCCAGCTCGTTGTAGAGGAACAGGACAGCGGCACTGGCGAACACGGCCGTCGGACCCACTCCCCATATCTCACCGTTGCAGCTCAGCCATTTGGCCAACGACTCCAAATAAGAGTCGCACAGGTTCTAAAATTTTCAATTAATTATATAACTATCTTGATAATATTATAAACGTGACAGGTTGTGAGTACGGATGGCTTAAACATCAGATCATCATCAGAACACATAGGTTATAATTTAAATATATAAAAAAACCTGGACAATTAACACAACGCCATCTATTCCCACGGTAAGCAGAGCTTGTGTTATGGGTTCTAGACAACTGATATAAATACTTTAGATTTTTTTCTAAATACATACATAATACACACCCAAATCGATACAAACAATCCTACAAACGTTTCCACCGATTGAGGAATCGAACCCGCGATCATTGGGAGTAAAGCGGTCTGCTAAACCACTAGACCATCACAGCCGTTATTTCAAAAAAGTATTATGTAAATCGGGCGATATAATGATAAATGTCAATCAATTGTGATTCAGATGAAGTTGCGGGAGTCAGTTAGTGTATTATAAACGCGAATTTTTGTGTAGATGGATGGACGTTTGTTACACTTTCATGTAAAAACAACGAAAGGTTTTGATGAAATTTTACAGTAATATAGATCGGTATAACACATAGTCCATAAATTTCACGCGGGTACATATTGTTAACTATTTATTGTTGAAACTTTACAGTAATATAACTTATACGTCTAAATAACATATATATAAAAGTCACTCGGATGAAATTTGCGGGTACAGCTTGTTAATTACTAATTGTATAACAAGAGTGAAATTGTGAATTAGGATGAAAATGTCTAATATTATTCCAGAGAATTTTGTTCTATACCAGAATTGAAATAAAATTGATATTACTTTACAGTTTTATTTTTATCCATAGGACATTTGGTCATGCTAGTAATTTAATGTAGTTGCGTATCTATTTTGTCAAATTCTTAAATAATTTAGAAAAAATACGAAAATTATCTTCAAATTAAAACATAGTATCAACACGTATATTTTTAAACTGATTAAGTATACGGATGACAGATTTTCAGGTAAAATCTCGTTGGCGTAGTTATGTACCTACTTGTAAAGTGTTTGGCAATAGTTAGTTACTTAATGATAGTACTCAGGGCCGCAAAAACTTAAAAAATATTATTATCCCTATGTTTATAATTGAGTATTTCAATATAATAATCTAGAACAAAGGTTGTCGGTCGGTCTAATAAAAAGAAGGCGGTTTTGAATGTCGCCATATTTTTCGTGTAAGTCACATGTTATTCAATTATGTATTTTTTTAATCAAAAGAATTAATTTTTCTGCGTTAGGTCGTACATACTAACTTAATCTAGATTAAACGGATTTTTTTAAATAGAGGTATATAGGTAGCCTTCCTATGTATTGGATTGCCTCTGATGGGAAATGGCGCTGTCTGTGAACTGACCTGATTTCATGCTCATCCTATCTTCATTCACTGATCTCTCTCTAGCGTATACCATTTGCACAGTTGGGAGTACCATTTCATTATCACCTATTACAAAAAAGGATGCCAGGTCGTACTCAACGCAGCTGGAAAGCATCGTAGTAAAGTCCGAGTGAATTCATCGTGAATTTGTCACGATGGGCTAACTGACCCGACCTCATGCTCATCTTATCATTCCCCACTGGCGTCCCGCCAACGACAGGCGAGTGCGCCATTCCATTATCAACCATAAAAATACCTATGTATTGGATACTTACACAGTGTGTATTGAAGTTTACAGTCTTGCCCGCCATGCACAGGTCGTAGCAGGAAGATACTACCACGCGGTTCTGCTACGATCATCTTCACTTGACGATTTCATTAGCTAACACTCCAAATTTACATATACCTATATTTTTTGGTTATGCCCTGATTTCTATAAATTGACGCATGTCAGTTGGTGACAGGAATTTTTTTTTCTTGTGGTATGGCATTCACCCTGATTTTAGGGTATTTCGCCAAACACAAAACGGGGAAACGTCATTAATTTATAGCAGTGTATGTATTTCATATTGCCAAATAAACTATACAGTTTGGCAAGTTTTATTTAAGAAAAAATGTATAACGTGTCGCGGTGTTTGTTACAAAACTCCTTCGAAACGGCTTTACCGATTTTTATGAAATGAAATGGTATTTAACAATAAGATATTTTAGGCATACCGAGTAAGTAGTAAGTTAACGACAGCATTAGGTGTGATAGCGTTACCAAAACAGACGATTGTGTATACTCCCCTCCGATCGATCCCCCGTCCAATTCAAACGGAGATCGAAATTACGACGGCCTGAGCCGAGGTTCGAACCCCTAGTGGTGCTCTCAGATTAAAGTCGTATCCGTCAGGCAGGAGTTGGCCTTCAGCCGCTCCATAAGACCTTCCGCGGGTTTGGAGTGTCATCTGCACTCGCCCCCTAACGTGTGGTGAAGCTGTAAAGGCCAGCTGCGGCCAACAGCATTAGAGTAGTCCGCAAAAAAAAAAAAGATTGTGTATAGTCTCCCGGTGGCAGTGTAGCCACTTAACCCCCTTGCTTTTTCTCCAATCCATTTTTGCATACTAGATTGCTGAATATTTTTGTGTCCTAGGTCTAGTCTTCTTGTTATTCTGCGTCACATATAGAATTCTTATTTTTATTCGTTCTCCATAAAACCACCTATATACCTACCCAGCTATCCCCATGTTGCCATGGAAATCCTAAATTTTAAGGATATTACTGCTAATTTGGCATCTGGTAATAAATCTTTACATAGTATAAAATGAAGTCGCTTACGGTGTATATTCACTTAGATCTTATAAACTACTGCTTATAATCTGATTTCAATGCATTTTTAGTAATAGAGTGATCCAAGAAGAAGGTTTACATGTATACCTAATACATGCACATCCGTGCAAAGCCGGGGCGGGTAATTAGTAATTAAAACAATATAATTAGTAAAACAAATGCATAGAACAGACTGCGATGGCTGCCACAGGCAGTCCATACATTTGTCATTTATTTCTAAACACACTAAAATGTCCAATACATTTTCTAACACCAACAACATTTAACACTACCTTGTTACATTCGAAACGACTAAATTTTGTAGACGCTTAAAAATAAACAACCTCTCCAAAATATATCATTAAAAAATTATCGTAAATAAGTACATATATATTATATATAACTCTGTGGGTATATGAACTATGGTTTTTAAAACTTTTTTTTATAAAAACACTTAGATTAATACACAGTCTAAATACTAACATATTTATTAAATAGCGTCAAGCGTAAATGGAAAACACTACAATAAATAAGTTCTCTAAGAAGAGTTACACTTTCATATTTTTTTTATTAAATTAGTACAAGTTTATACTTGTACTAATTTAATTAAAAAAACACATTAGTGACAAATATACGTATGTACCTATATATCACTATTTACTGACATTAATATAATAGTGATAATTATTACAATTTCATTTAATATCGAAAAGATGGAAAGTTTAATTAAAAACGTCGTTTAAAATATGCTTATTTTTTCCGCAAAATATATATTTTTATATATATATATATATAGCCGTGAAAAGCTTAAGCTTTTTAAGTGTAATAAAATTGCATAAAAAGCATTACCTAAACTACAAAAGACATATATTTTAACAATAGTTCATGATTAAATTCCTAACAATTTTCTAATAATTTAGTAATATGAGAAATAATATTTATATGGTAACATTGAATCAAACATACATTTCTACTATTAAATGATTTACTTAAACTATTTGATTACGCTATCAGCAACTTGCTAGTACCTACAAGATATATATTTGTATTTACCAAATATATTATGTATATTTGGAAGTATATTTACTACTAAATGTTTATATATTCTTTCTACTTTAATTATACATATAACAGCCAGAGTATATGTTTTTCTAGTAATATATATATTTTCCTATCTTTATGTATTCTATTTTACTTTATACTCGCCTATAAAATTTTACATAACTAAGTATATACTTTAAGAATACGAGTATATCATGTAGACGAATGTTTGTGCGATTAAGTTGATATTAAGTAATATAAGATAATAATTAATATATAAACACTAAAATACATCTATTACTTTAAAAGGTTCACGTGTATAAAATTAAAATTCAAAATTTATATTAAATTAAATTAAATTCATCAATTAATATAGATATGTATTAATCATAATTTATTGAATGAAAACTATTAAGTTTACGCTTTTATATCTTGGAGTTGACTTAATTAAGTTATATTAATTATTAACTTACAATTATGTATTATTAATCATATTTAAAGTATGTAAATATACATACTATATATATATAATGATGGATGATTAGGTCATGCACACGACTAGATGATGACTAGATTCAATAATGTACATATATATATATATATATATATGTGATTCGGAAAATCTTAATTAAATAAATATGAAATTTATATATTACCTTACATTAATATTAATAAATATATATATGTAAGTAAGCTATTACATCTCTGTATTCATTGCCCGAGAATACAGAAATGTCATATATATATATAAGCCTCTTAAAACACGGAGTTTACTTTGCTTCATTATTAAAATGAATGCAATTACAATAATAAAAGATGCAATCCGCCATGATTATATGTTTTTATAGTCCGACCAGCAATATTTTTTAATATTTACAGTACTATAGGAGATTCAAATCTATATTTAAATTTATAAGATCTACTGCTTGTATTTTCGTTGTATAATAATAATAATAATAATATATTTTAATAGCAACTACGTACTACTTAGAGTAATATTATATTATTTAATATATAATTTTGGCAGAGATAATAATTAAATTCAAGATGTATAATTTTTGCAAAACATAGTTTACAATAATATATAACACTAATAACAGCGATGTAACTATTATGAATTATATAATAATAATATAATTTATATAGTCCAAAATTATTATTCTGGTTTAACTTGAAACGAACAGTACTCAAGAATAATAGAATAATATATTAAATTACATTATTTATATTATTAAACGGGTCTTAACATGAACTAATTTTATGGCAAATAAAGGTATTTACCTCTCTCGACCGGTTAATAATATAAATAATGTATATTAAACACGAAAGTTTAAAAATAAAAATATTAAATTATTCTTAAGTTACTTGAGTATATTTCATAAACTTAATTAAAGAAATTATTGAATGTAGCACAATATACTTATTTTGACATTAATATTTTATTCCTAATATTTCTACAAGGAAGAAAAAATACATATATATATAATTATTTTTAAATATTCGCGTTTAGTACAATTTATAAACATAGTTAAACAGGTTTTGACACGAATAATTTTATGGTAAATAAAGGTTTACCTCTCCCGGCGTTTCGACTGGGTTGCACTAGCCGTAATCACGAGAGAGAGGTAAATAACTTTATTTACCATAAAATTATTCGTGTCAAGACCGTTTAATTATATTAATGACATATATAAATCGTAATACAACTTACATTACTTAATTTTATTATTAAATATTATGTTATTCTTGAATATATAGTATTTTTAAACGAGCCACTCGATTGTTGGTGGCTTGGTCTCCATGTGAGTGGTGTATGGGTCAGGTCACAGGTTACATAGAGAGGGGTCAACTGGCGGTATCGATGTCTCTTCAGGTTGTGTGATAGCTCTTATTCGCTGAGAATGTGAAGAAGAAATACGTCTAAGATGTAATAAAATTGTCTATTTTTATATATCAGACTATTGACTATTGTTCATTGACCAGTTTCAAGCACGTATTAATTCAATACCGCAATCGTTAGAGATGTTATCAAGACCTATATTATACAAGGTTATATATGGAAACATTCTAATTGTGCTTATTGTATTTGTTAAGGGGGTTTTCACACTTGTTTCTAGAGCCGTAAAACATAATAAAAAATAAAAAAAAGTTACGATGCCAACAAGAAAATAACTAGTTGGCACTGAAAGTGAGACTGAATCCTTTAATTGTAATAAATTATTGTAAATATAATTCTTATGTATACATCTATCCTTTACAATATACATATGTATATAGCGACAGTTGGTGTCATCTCTACACCTCTTTCCACCTACTGGCTGGTAATCACTTACCATCAGGTGAACCGCAAGCTCGTTTGTCCCCTATGAAAAAGAACCGCCTGCTACATAGGAACACACAAATAATAGTAGCTCCATCATAACCCCTGAACATCCCTGATATGTTGCGATTCCTGAGGACTCAGCTCCCAAGCTTCTGTACCCTGAAATATGCCATATACTCACATTTTTCAAGTTTCCAGGCGTGATCAGCAGCTTGTACAGTATATAGAGAGGGATGCAAGATACTGTGGTACCGGTCATCACCCAGCCGACTGTGATCGACCAGGGCGGGTACGTATACTCCCCGCCCAGCATCTCCTCATGCGCCAGAACGGAGAACACGAACAGCACCAGTAGAAATACCGGGCTGTGGAGAAATTAGCAATTATTAATAGAAATAGAAATATTCGTTATTCAAATAAATTTAGTTTAATCACACACAATTAAAATTTTCCTTTAATTTTGTTTAACACACCTATCCAACACTTTCTGCCTTTCTTCTTTGACGGTCTCGGAGTTCTAGCGTTTTAGCTCACCGTCTTACTTCCGATGTTTTATGATTCATAAATGCAATGATAATTAATCTATACATATAAATAAAAAAATCAAATTGAAGTGTCTCTTTGTAAAATTGAAATAACCGTTTTTTACTATATGCATATGAATATAAATACATTACAAAATAAATTTATTTTTACAATTTTTGTCTATTTGTTCCGGCTAATCTCTGAAATAGCTAGACCGATTTTTACGGGACTTTTTTTGGCAGGTAGCTGATGTAATAAGGAGTAACTTAGGCTGCTTTTATTTTAGTAAAATAAAGTTAAATTCCACGCGGACGAAGTCGCAGAAACAACTAGTTAATAATAAAAAAGCGTCAAAGTACACTCTAATGAAGGACACGGAAAGACACGACTTGGAGGCGCGCGCAGTCTAAAGTAAAACGAGATCAACGTCGTTGTTTTTTTCGAGTTTACACTGAACTCCGTTCCCTTGAACGTGTTTATAGTATGATTGGTGAAATCCAGCCTGACTCTGCTCATTCTTACTCGTTCTCTTTGTCTACATTCCCATGCATACTCTCTATACTCTATTCTCTCTATCCTCGTGAAAATCAGTTCGCGCTTGAAAGAGCGTACGTGTAAAGGCAGCTAATATGATCGAAGTAAGTTTATTTGGTGAAAACTTTAATATTCTATATTCTGATAATATCACCTGATATATGACCAGCAGGCCCTCCAGAACCAACCAGGCGTGTGTCCCAGCATGCTGCGTACGTCCTCAGAGAACCGGTCTACTCCGTACACCCAGCAGACGCCGGCCGCCTCCGCGAAGACCACGAACAGTATCGCCAGCCCGGGCCCGTACACGTTCAGCAGATCCACCAAGTATACTCCACCCTGGTCACATCGTAATTTAGGAACCGAAATAAGAAATAGAAATAGAAATAATCTTTATTCAAATAAACTTAATATAAGCACTTTTGAATAGTCAAGTTTTTTGATTCGACCGCTCATTCGGAATGCAGATTCATCACAAGAAGAATGAGCAAGAAACTCATTCTTCTTTCTTGCTCATTGATGGATTGATGGATGTTATTCTTTTACACAAAACTATTGAATGAAACTTTACAAAATCTTAATATTATTAATATTATAAACGCCGAAGTTTATGAGTCTGGATTGATGGATAAAAATGAATGGATGTTATTGTTTCACGCAAAAACTATTGAATGAAATTTTACAAATCTTATTAATATCATAAACGTCGAAGCTTGTGAGTGTGGATGGATGTTTGTTACTTTTTAACGCTAAAACTACTGAATGGATTTTAATGAACCTTTACAATAACATAGCTTATACATCAGAATAATATGCTAGTTTCATGTTCGTTGTTCTTGTGATGAGTTTATTTTCCGAATGAGCGGTAGCATCAATAAAATCATATACATATATCTACTTAAGTGCTTATATTTAGTTGTATAAGGATTATTAAGTACTATTTCTATATCAGTTAATAAATATTTAGAGTTGGCGACACTGTTTAGTCTAACACTAAGCAGTGTTACCAACATTTATTATGTTATTCTATTAAGTCCATTCTCTATGTTTAGTCTAGCACTAAACTGTGTTGCCAACATTTATAAGTTTATTCTATTAAGACCTTTCCCATCTTCACGGAAAATAAATGATCGAACGAAACAAACGTAAGGGTTGTCAAAATGAGCATTATATTAATGGAAATAGCATTTGAGTAAACCGCATAGTGTGATCATATACAATTTGGATAAGGTTTAGTGGTTGTTTCAATTTATATGTTGATTTGCGAATGAACGGCGACCCTTAGGTACGGTCAGCTTTGTTAAATCCTTCCTTGTATAGGAAACCTTCACTTATATGAAATTGATTTGAACCGTAGAAATTCATTACACACAAAATACAAGACGGCCACGCGGGTCTAACGGTTTAGCATCGTCTTATTTCCGATGGTCACGGGTTTGATTCCTTGTACGGTACACACTATAATATATATAATATATCTATACATCTATACATATAAATAAAATTGGGGTGTCTGTTTGTAATATTAAAACAACCGTTTTTATTACATGTATATGAATATAAATACGGTACATACACCAAAATAACATTTTTTACAATTTTTGTCTGTCTGTCTGTTTGTTCCGACTAATCTCTGAAATGGCTGGACCGATTTTGACGGGACCTTTTTAAGCAGGTATCTGATGTAATAAGGAATAACTTAGGATACTTTTAGAAACATAAAGTTAAATAATATAATAAGGTCGCTGGAAGCAATGGATGCGAGCAGCGCAGGACCGATCGTCGTGGAGATCTTTGGGGGAGGCCTATGTCCAGCAGTGGACGTCTTCCGGGCTGCGATGATGATGAATATAGTAGTAATATATATAATATAAACTCTAAATAAATAATAAAAAATAACATTTACAAAAAGTTAATCAACATATTCAATATACATAAAATCCCATACAGTTGAGAGGACATACAAAATCCAATGCAATACAAAACTAACAACAATATCGTTTGGTCATCGAACCTTCATTTGCACAATCAGTTAACGATTCCCATGCGTTTACAAGTAGCAGAGGGAATAAAACGGCTGTAAATGAATCTCGCACTATCGCAACACTCTAGTCATCCCCCCACTTTATGAATTATGCAGTGTATACATCGGCTCAGCCCTACAGATAACACCCCAGTAATTTATATAGGGGGATGCCGTTTGACCCAATCTTTACTACTGAACCCACTCACATATAAGTTTGGTACTGGACTATGCAATAATAATGATATTTATTCACTATTACATCAGTATTAAAGGGTAAACAGGTAACCTGTTTACCCTTGATCCCTAATCTATACATATAAATAAAATTTGTGTGTCTGTTTGTAATATTGAAATAACCGTTTTTTACTACATGCATATGAATATAAATACGGTACATACACCAAAACAATTATTTTACAATTTTTGTTGTCTGTCTGTCTGTTTGTTCTGGCTAATATCTGAAATGGCTGTACCGATTTTGACGGGACTTTTTTTGACAGGTAGCTGATTTAATAAGTAAGTAACTTAGGCTACTTTTATTTTAGAAAAATAAATTTAAATTCCACGCGGACGAAGTCGCGTGTACAACTGTACAGCTAGTTGTACACATAAGTAATATCCGTTTCAAATATAAAACAGAGTATTTCGATTCTTTCCTCTTACTCAAAACATTACATATGAATTTCTTCTGGAATATGTAACAATAATAATAATGGATTTATTTATGGACGATTATTTAAATTAAAAATATTATGAATAAAAATGTAATGATAATAAGAATAATAATTGTAATAATGATGATAATAATAATTGTAAAAACATAACAACAACAATAGTTAAATATTGAATTAGAATATAATTGTTATAACACATGTAATTTTTAGGCTTAGTAATACAAATTTGCATGCCTACTGTAAAAAGATATATTACAGCGCTGTCTGCTGATATACTGTGGCTTATTTGTTTATTTATATCTGTCTGTAACGCAAATAAACCACTTACTTACTTACTTAAAACATATTTCGATTCCTACGTTCTCGAAACTATATAAATAAAAACATCTATTCAAAAGAGCAACACCCAAGTTTCTTGCTCATTCTTCTTGTGACGAATCTGCATTCGGAATGAGTAGATACAAAAATATAACTATTCAAAAGTGCTTGTAATGAGTTTATTTGAATACAGATTATGTATCTATTTCTATTAGATATGACAGTCTTATATAAATTACTTACGTAGGTAGTGGTCGGCAAAGCGCAGATATAAATGAAGAGGCATAGAAATGCAACGAACAACTCTCTATGTCGGCCCAAGACCCTTGGATACTCATCGCATAGCGCAGTTGTCACGGCTTCAAGTCCTAAAAGAAATATTCTATAAGTTTATTTCAAATTTACTTCATATTTTGATATTTGTATCAAAGTATCACAGTAACTGTAGTTCAGCTTAGGTTATGGTGTAGATTGCGATATGTCAATTGTCCAGGATTCCTATTGTTATTTACATAAAATTGTATTTCCTATAGCATTTGGAAGGATGAAGACATATAAAGCAGAATATAACCTTGATTGGCTAAAGCATAAAAGTACTTTCTTATTTTCAAAGTAGGTGATACGTAATAAACCTATTTAATCGTGTATTTTACAGTTGTATTAGAGGAGTTAGAAAATAAATAAGGGATGTTACAACTTTATGAGGAGCGAAAAAGGTGTAGATAACTACTCAAAATTGGAGATTCTAAAAGTAATAAAGTCAGGAATAAAATTTCGACAAAAAAAAAAACGTGTTTTCTACTTTCTTCTACGTACGTACTTTAATATTTTTAAAGTAGATAATTCGAAATAATCCTATTTAATCGAGGAGATAGTAAAGAAATAAGGGATGTTACAGCTTTATGAGGAGCGAAAAGGTGCAGGAAACTCTACTCAAAATTAGAAATTCCAAAAATAATGAAGTCTGCTAATAAACTTTCACATACAAAACGATACATCTACGTACGATTCCTCATACGTACCTCCGAAGGTGCTGTCCAGACCAAGCGTGATGAGCATCAAGAAGAAAATGATGGCCCAGAAGACAGATCCGGTCATGGTTGCGATCGCCTCTGGGTACACGATGAATACAAGCCCTGGACCTTCCAGACCCACTTCTTCAATGCTCTTATTTTGCACGTGAGCCATGTATCTAATCAGGAGAAATTAAAAGCGATCATTTTAAACTAGGTACCCGAGACTTCTATGACGAGACGGAATAAAAAGTACGGTGAACATGTCAAATAATATATACACACGTCTGTATACTTAAATAACATTGAAGTTTGAAATTTCAAACAATCAGCTTTACACTGAAAGGTATATATACGGTACTTAAATAAAAAAAATGTCTGTTTGTCTGTCAGTTTGTCTAACAAATCAGATGATGTTCTAGACTTACCCTAAAACGGAGAATATAACAAATCCAGCAAGGAAGCTCGTGAGGCAGTTGATGGAAGACGTGACGAGTGCATCTCGATAGCAGTTGTTATTGAATTTATTGTAGCTGGATAATGCCAGAAGGGTACCAAAGCCAGGACCTAGGGAGAAGAAGATTTGGGAGGCCGCATCTATCCAGACCTGATGAATGAAAGAGAAAAATTGAAATTACACAGTCTGTTTATTGTAAGATTGTAAGATTATTGTAAGACTTTACCTTGGAGTTAAGCAACTTATGCCATTCTGGAGTGAGATAATATCGGATGCCTTCAGTTGCGCCTGGTAAAGTAACACCTCTTGCTAACAGTATTAATAGAACCACATATGGTGCTAGAGCAGTTACCCATACAACCTGGAGATGGCAAGGGAAAAGTTGACATTAGAAAAGTACATGACCAAGAAATAGAAAACAATAAAAGACAGAAAAAAGATTATGATTAGGATAGTATACCATACCTAACCATAGCAATGGAATAGCAATATAATATGGAGCAAAAAAAAGCTAACATAGTAATAAAACTATTTCAGTTTTTCCACATGCAAATTACAAGACTAATAAATGATCTTCCGTCACTGCAAATACAGATGAAACCATTGACATAACCACAAAATTTGAACTATAGTTTCCAAATTACGAGACTGCAAACATACAATTGTAATTTGTAATTGGTGATGACATATTGAAGATAACTAATAAATCTAAAACTGCAATAAAAAGTGAATTTAAAGAAATCATAGAACATCAAAGCATCACGGTATATATGTAATATGAAACATGTCCTATTTTATGTAATGTGCATTGTTCTCACCTTACCAGTACTCCTGACACCTTTCCACAATGAGAAGTATACCAGTACGAATACACCAACGACGCATAATGCAAGGGATGGCTTGATAGGTCCCATATCATCCAGTCCATTTGATCTTTGTTGTTCCAAGACGTTGCGTCTGCAGAATGGAAATATAGTTCGATTCGATAATCTTTTAGAAGTCATTCGAGAATAGTTTCAAAGAATTTCTTATATTTAAATTAACTTAACATATTTATTATTACCTTAATTAACTTAAATATAACAGTAGTAAAAATAAGCTTAACACATTGAAGTTTGGGTGGAAAATTATCATAGTAATTAAAATACAGATAAATTCAGACGTGATATACGATTGAGATTCCAGTTCTTTCATGAATTGGGCTATTATATTAAAAAAATAATAGTACCGAATACCTTAATTTTTGTTTAATTAAGCTTTTACACTTAATTGATTTTGAGTCATTAAAAATTGTATATTTTGATTTATGCTACGCAATTTTTGTTTTATATTGTCGCCATGTAATATATTGTATTATAGATTACTTCATCTTCAATAACTTCAATAACAATGAGACTGTGTTAATTGAAAACAATCAATCAATAATTTAATTTGAAACAGAAAATCTTATATGTTGTAAAACTAAAAGTGATGACATGCATTGTACAGATACATTAAAAGAAATAGGAAAAGATTTTTCTTTTTAAGACTTACTCGAAAAATTCTTTAGCCGGTGTGGTGCCGTTGACGTTCTGTTGGGGGTTAGTGATTGGTGTGCAGAGTGGAGTATTCCATGGGTTGTTACAGCTGGTCCACGGGAGCTCGGAGTTGATGGAAGCGAGTGAGGCTATCAGGTAGTAGACTGCCCATCCGATGATCGTGTTATAGTACATCCCCATGTAGATGTCAATCATGCATATCGCGTACCCTACACCTACATAGCAATTGACAAAATGTACATAAAAATATAGATCTTATGTACTAAATAACAATAGTAAAGTGTAAGGTGGGGTGACACAGTTTAGACACGGCAGTGCTTAGTAGATAATATTTAATTTATCTTACTAGCTAATGAATCTAAATAATTGCAAGTATCTAAGTCTATAGCTAGTCCCATACTTGATAGATAGATAGATAGATAATTGATTTATTGCCAACATAACACAAATAATACAATTTACAATAAGACACAAAACAGTAAATAAATAATAACATGGAAGTTGGCAATAGGAGCTGCCTCAGCTGTTGCTGATATAAGCACAACCGTAATGAGGTGCACATATACAGCGCTGGTTTTCAGGCAGCCCCCATTACTCGTAAAAAAAAACTAAGATGCGGGTTTTTTACTACATACAGATACATATAATTTAAACACAAAAAAATATATTAAATAAGATCTAGGATACACAAATATAAATATATATAGAATGACTCTACCCACCATCTATATACTTATTTAGATGGTTGGTAGAGATAATCTACTATTAAATCTTAGATGTATTAGGGATAATAATATTAATACGTATAAAATGACAAGTAAAAACTATTCTTCCATCTTTATATATGCTACAAATACGTTTTAAGATTCGCTTAAACTTCAGTCTCCTTTCCGATAATTTAACAAACACTCAAAATCCAATTAATAAACGGTCGCGTCAATTTTGGCGGCGCAAACTTGGCGCGAAGTTTTGACGTTTGCCAGGCGCCATGTTGAAATCGAATCACCGCCATCTGTCGGCGTAATCAAATGATATCGCATCGCGCTCGCTAATTAGTTTAGCGACAACAAGATGGCGAGTTTACACTCAATAATAACTGTGCAAATGTTGTGCTTGCGTCTTAGCTGATTGCACGATTCAAGATTTATTTGATTTATTACATTGCATGTAGTATGGCATATATATACGACACATATTTTATTATTTGTTACACATATTCACGAAAGAAAGTGGAACTGTCGTAACTTGAAAAAACCAACTTACACTTTGCTCGCGTAAATAACAATATCAAATAATTCTGTTTATTGTTCAGAACATAATAATAACTTTGTAAATTCTATATTATATTTAATTATTTGTTTATAAATCTTTTTCATTACTTAGTGGATTCATATTATAATATACTAGCTTATATATATACTAGCGCGACTTAGTCCGCGTGGAATTTAACTTTATTTTTCTAAAACAAAAGTAGCCTAAGTTACTCCTTATTACATCAGCTACTTGCCAAAGAAAGTCCCATCAAAATCGGTCCAGCCATTTCAGAGATTAGCCGGAACAAACAAACAGACAGACAAAAATGGTAAAAAATGTTATTTTGGTGTATGTACCATATTTATATTCATATGCATGTAGTAAAAAACGGTTATAACAATATTACAAACAGACACTGCAATTTTATTTATATGTATAGATTTTGTTCAATGCCTCTACCATCAGCATGTGTGACATAATAAATATTTAGTGCGAAAACCTGATTGGAAGCAATACCACTTTCTCTATTGATCATCAAAGTGGTAACGCTTCCAGTAGCGGACGTCAGGTTTCCGCACTGAATTAGTGGTCTCACACATCTAATTGTAGCGGAATTAAACAACATAATATTCATTCCGTAATTTCTAATAACAATCGTAACATAATATCTCAACGATATATAAGATAGATATAAGTAGCAATAGAACGAATGATTCTGAGTGCGTTTGTGGAAAAGATATTTATCGCGGCAGCGACGGGTCCGGGGGAACGTTCATGTTGATAAGCGAGCGAAATGAGTAAATATACATCTTGAACACTGATAACGGAGAACGCATGTTTATGGTATCAAGTGTACGACTGGAAAAGAATTAGGTACAGAAATTTGTATATGTTTAATAACAAGTACTCATCCGCAATAATTTATGACTATTTAACAATAAAGATTGTACTTAATACTAATTTCTTCTTTTGTCTTTTAGAAATCTTAGGAACAATACTTTTTTTCAATAATCTTATTTGTTTTCTGTACTTTAATAATGCAGTGAGAGAGCAACACGCAAGTTTCTTGTCTTCTCATTCTTCTCCTAATATTGCGAATGTATAAATATACTTATTTAATAGTGCTATAAGCACTTTTGAATAAAGATTATTTCTATTTTTATGTATCTGTAATTGGTGAGTTTATTTATCTTAAAATTGTTACACGGCGCATTAAAAATACTATAAAACGAATACAGTTAACTGTAGAATAAGGCAGATCATTCTTGTTCTTAAACTTTGTAGCGAGATAAGAAAGAAGTGCAAGTTTGAAGGGTGGTTATTAGTTAAATCATAGCGCGACAGTTGCCACCCCGCCCGTTCAACTGAGCCAATAGATCACGGAGCAAAAACTGTTACAGATTCACCTGAAACTTCGCTGACTTGAGAATACAATATTCAAGATCGAATAGAATTTTTTTTATACAAACTAACTTTATTTAAAGATGGTCGCGGTGTATTTTTAATAGCGTCGTGCCGTGTCTACATTGAATTAAATTCAAGCGGTCGTGAGTTCAAGTCTAGTCGATACAAAAAAGTCAATTTATATTTCTAGTCTGTTTTTTGTATCGGAGACATTTGACATTGCTTATGTTGCCGGCTTTATGAGATTCTTAATTTGTGGCACTATCGGAAATTAATTTTAATTACTGTTTTTTAAAGGTTGCTCAGAAATAATGTGTGGATGTTTACATTTATATATTATATATGCATTATCACAAAATTAATCAAAATCATCCATTAAGTATTTTATATATTTAGTAGACTTACCGTCTACAATTCTGTTCTACTATTACCATTTAAATATATATATATATAATATGATTTTATTCTGTTCTTAAATTCAATAGAATTTAAGAACAAAATACAATCATATTTCGAGCAACTTTGTTTTTACATTTTATGACATTTTTAATTAAGTGATTTTTAATTTATTTTATAGATATGTATATAATTTAATTTAATATTTGAATAATTAAAATTGTAATTGTGACATAATTATTATATAAAAAATATATAATTACTACTGACGTGCCATAGTGTAACGAGATGTGTTACATTTGTGAATAAAAAAAATAATATGAATATAAATATTTAATAACAAATATATTTTTTAAACAAATTTTACATCTCTTATGGTTTGTTGTAAAAGTATGAGATATCTCATTCTAAAGCGGAGTCTGTTGTAAAAACTCCATTTTAAAAAGAGAAACATCACACTTTTAATAACAAACTATATTAATTCCAAGTTCACCAATTTAGCGAATTCTACTTTAATGATAAAATCACAAAGTCGTTATTCCAATATCTATAGTTTTCACTTAAATCATTTCATTATTACGCGTGAGATAGGTAGGGAAATTTTGTAAGATATATGTTGATAATATAAAAACTGCGTCGACTTGAATAGTAGGTACCGTGGAATGAAGAGAGGAACAAATATTAGCTCGACAGATCTACTGGCGCTTACGTGCCTACTTCATACTCAAATGACGTGTTATATACAGACGTATCTACAGTCTATACTCATATTATTGTCGGCCTTACAGGTCTACCGTCTTACGTCAGATGGTCGCAGGTTCGATTCGCATGATGTAAACATTTGTATTCATTAGTATGCTTATGTTGTTTTATTCTTTTTTGCACAATAAAAAATGTAGAAAATATATGTCATTCTCTACCAGCTTTGGGTAAAAAAAGTAAGCCTTGATCATGGTAAAAATTAGTGACAATAATACCATATTGTAAAAATTCAGTCAGTTCAAATCAAATCAAAATAATTTATTCATGTAGGAGTAGTTTTTTTTTGTTTAAGTCGTTTTATTTTAAATTGTTAGATGTGTCAGTGAAATTATAGGGTATAGAAGCAGAACAACACATTCCTCAATAACTACGGTTAGGAGTTAGCACAAGAGTCAGTCAATCTTGTAATGTTAGTTATTTATACTATACAATAAGCGACGGTTATTACATTCCATCAGTCAACAAACTAGTTTTACCTAAGCGCCGTTTGACGAAAGTTAGTAATTCGTTTTATGGAAATTGCGTAAGGTTTTACAACAAACTCCCAGAGTCTGTACTCAATTTGCTAGAAAAAAAATTCAAATGTGTTATAAAATATTTTCTTTGAAAAAAAAAGCTTATTATAAAATTGAAGAATTTTTAAAAGATAATAATGTTTTTATTGAAAATATCTAACTTAAAATTCATAGCGCTGACAATGTTATCTGATTGAACATAGATTAAGTGCGAGATTTCTATGTTGATTGTCGCATGCCTAATCCCTGTTGTTAATGAAATATAAGTAAATCAATATTTATTTAAAAGAGCAACAAACAAATTCCTTGCTCATTCTACTTGTGATGAGTCTGCATTCCGAATGAGCGGTAGAATAAAAAAACTTAACTATTCAAAAGTGTTTATATTAAGTTAAAAAAATATTTACAATATAACAACTTATATAAGGAAACTTTAGTTTTAATAATATTCTGAATACTGTATAGCCTTTAAATATGTTGTCTTGATTAGGTCTGCATTTACTTAAAAACAAAGACGAATCAATTAATATTAACCATTTTGGAGCTTAACTTAACATTACATTTATAAACTTAATTCATTCATTTTATCAGCATATGATCGTACAGTTTTTGTATTATAATTTTTTTCCCTACCGTTCACTTCAGTATAAAGATTCAAATCAAATCAAAATATTGTTAACAATAATACAGATTCATTTTTAAATTCAAATTTGGGACCAGCATATGCTATTGAAATTCTTAAAAGCAAATAGTGTAATCAGTGTTCGTAACCCGAACAGACCAGTCTCCACAAACAGCACCCGTTCACGATTATAAACGATTCAATTTCATTTGACAACCTCGGTGGTCTAGCGGTCTAGCACACCGCTTTACGTCCGATGGTCGCGGGTTCGATTCCTCGCACGGCACAAACATTTGTATTCATGAGTATGATTGTTTGTATCGGTCTGGGTATTTTCTATGTGTAATATGTATGTATTTACGAAAAAAAATCTATGTTTTTATATCAGTTATCTAGTGCCCATAACTTGGCTTTAGTGGCGCTGCGTGAATTGTCCTGAGATTATTATTAATCGAGAAGAACTAGTAAGAAACTCAACAGAATTTATTGTTTGCTATAAAAAAAGATGTATTCTATCACCATATAAGGTACATTACCAAACGTTAACAAGAAGAAAAGGGTCATATATGTATGCATTAGCCACACAAATCGCGGGTCACTTCCACCCGCCCCACAAGGAGTGCAGTCAGTCCGTTTCATACATTTTAACAAGTCCCATCCACACTTCAGGGGCGACCATTTGTCTTAACGTTAAAAGCATTGCCTACTGTATATTTATAAAGTCTAATGTATCACATACATATATATGGTTCGTGTACACGGGCCACTTTGATTTTCAAAGTGGACGATCGATGAAACGAGTGTTTGATAGAGGATTTGTCTGCGTTTTATGGTATGGACTTCAAACAGATTTCTTATTAGATCACTAGCTGTCCCGGCGAACGTTGTATTGCTATATAAATTAAAACCGCTGTTAAAAATAGGGGTTGATGGTTGAAGGGTGATAATTTAGGGTTGGTATGGCTTAATGCCATATAATATTTTATTACCCAGATCACTTAGAGGTATGAAAAATAGATAGTAGCCGATTCTCGGACATACTGAATATGCATATAAAATTTCATAAAAATCGGCCAAGCTGTTTCGGAGGAGCATGGTAACAAACATTGTGACACGAGAATTTTATGTATATACTAGCTGTCCCGGCAAACGTTATTTTGCCTTAAAATAAAAAAAAAAAATTGGGATGGACTACCCCTAACATTTAGGGGGATGAAAAAATAGATGTTGGCCGATTCTCAGACCTACTCACAAAATTTCATGAGAATCGGCCGCCGTTTCGGAGGAGTATGGTAACAAACATTGTGATACGAGAATTTTATATATATATATATAATAACTGGCGACCCATCCCGGCTTGACTCGTATGCATTATAAATCTTGAATTTCTTAGCTGGTTTTAAACTATAACACGCATGTATACAACACACCTTTCTCTTGAATGAGTCTGTTTATTGCTGAAATCTGCATTAAAATGTGTTGCGTATTATAAAAGATATAAGTCTCCAGACAGCGGCGGTGACTTTGTTTTATACTATGTAAAGATACTAATAATAATAATAGTAATAATAATACCCCTGGACAAATCACACAACGTCATCTAGTTCTAAAGTAAGCAGAGCTTGTATTATGGATACTATATAACAGATACAAATACTTAGACTTTTTTTTGTAAAGACATACATAATGTACATAGAAAACTCCCAGACCGCTACAAACAATCATACTCTTAACTACAAATGTTTGCACCGTGCGGGGAATCGAACCCGCGACCATCGGAAGCAAATCGGTGTGTCAAACCGCTACACCACAGAGGCCGGCAACTGATGGAAACCACAAATAACGGTGTTTGGGTTTATTTTATAAAACTATCACACTCCTCTTTTTGCGTCGTGGTTATAAAAATTCTTCATCCGGTAAAATATTTCAAGCCACAATGCAATACTGAAGCACGGTAAGTGATTGTCGTCTAATAATCAGAGTAGGTACCCGCTGGGAGGGCTTTCAATCTGTTTTTTCGTCACATCGGGCAACCATTAAACCTTTGTTTGGCATCCGGATCGTCGTCAGGGAAATCTTTCCAATAGAAATACTTCAAACACTTTTTTAGATGTAAATCAAAAAGATTAAAACTGTTTTGAAGTTTTATTGACGCTTTGATATTAAATTCTATCTACGCCACGTTTTTTTATATAGTATAGATGATAAAAGAGCTTGCGGCTCATCTCGTGGTAAGTGATTACCTAAGAATATCCTTCAATTCTTGTCCCTTACGGGTCTAGGTAGCGAACTTTGAAAAAGGGCGAGCACAATAGATTTATACAGGTCGCAGTACCCAGCACCTGGTAATAGCCTAAACCACCAATTAAAAAAAAGTGATTACCGCCCCCCATGAGCACCTACCCCAGGTGAATTGCATTATTGAAACTTGAACTCCTAAATACTGTAGAAGTCATTTTTCTAATGTAGTAGACAGTAGAAAAATTACTTCTATAATATTCTTACGACATCTTGGTTCTTGGCTTCTACATCTAACTTGTTCTTTTTGTACAATTTGTTTGTACAAAAAGAACAAGTTAGATGTAGATGTTTTGTCACTGTTTTAAAGATATCTGAATTTTCCAATAATTTCATTGCGATATCTTAACCTTCACATAGAAATACAGTTTCCATAACACGCTGCTTCGCTGGAATCAATGGGAAATCATGCTAACTGACCTGACTTTATGTTCATGTTTTTAATTAATTAACCTTACCTTTCAGAGCAGGACAAATTCTTTTCCATAGTGTGAGACAGCCGCAGCGATGGTACTGGCCAAGAGCGAGCTCCATGAAGAAGAGTGGTAGGCCACCAAACAGCAGCATCACGCAGTAAGGGATGAGGAATGCACCTGACAACATTACGCTGAATGTATTTTTTTTTACTGATTATATAATGATAGACGACGATTCATATACAATTGAAGAAAGAGAAGAAGTCGCGTGGTTCATCTATCCCAAAAGTCGACAATAAACCGGAAACAGGATATAGAACAAGTCATTACAACTATCAGAAAAAATCTTGACTTGAAAATACATATATACGTATATATATAGCATAGGCCACTGTTGACTGAATCTTATTAATATCATAAACGCGAAAGTTTGTGAGTATGGATAGATGTTTGTTACGCAAAAAATGCTGAACTGATTTTGATAAAACTTTTCAGTAATACAGCGTATACATCAGAATAACACATGGGCAATAAATTACATGCGGGTGAAACGGCGGGCTAATAGTATGTATATATACGAAACAGTGATTTCCTAAGCTTTATAACACAATTTTCTTAACCTTCTTAGAAGTTTTCGACAGTTGGAAATACTTGATGAAATAGGCCTCTAACTCGCGGACTATATACTACTAGACAGTAACACAGCTTATAAATCACAATAACACATAGGTTATAATTTAAAAACATATTAGGTAAATTGGGTGAAATATAATAAGTGGCAGATGAAGTTGCACGAGTCAGCTAGTATAAAATAAATTATATTCGTATTTATGTATTTTACTTTTGTTTTAGATTATACAATTTGTTATTTTAATTTTATTTAGTATCTATCCTTTGACATTTTTTTTTTTTTTTTTGTTTGCACCAATTATTACCCACTCAGTACCACATATCCCACTGTTTTAGGTTGACTGGAAGAGATCTCTTCTAGGGATAAGTCCACCTTTGCTTACATTGTCTTTAAATTATAATATCTTTATATTATCTGTGCAATAAAGAATATTGTAATAAATTGTTAACAATCGTACTGGTCAAGTTATATTATTGTAAATTTCCATTAATATCCATTTAGTAGTTTTTGCGTGACTGAGTTAGAATAGAATAGAAAATCATTTATTCAAATAAACTTAATTTAAGCACTTTTGAATAGTCATAACAATTTGTTTTTTATCTACCACTCGTTCGGAAAGCTGTCTCATCACAAGAAGAACGAGCAAGAAACTTGTGTGTTGCTCTTTTAAATAATCCTTGTAAGTTTACATTTACAAGTCGAAACGTGTGAATACAAACTACCAACAAGCACTAATTTTTTGGGTCAAATATAATCATGCAATAAGATTAAATCAGTCGTAGTGATAAGAGCAGACCAGAAGTTAGAGACATCCATCCATCCACATTCACAAATTTCTACGTTTATATTATTAACTCAGATAAACTACTCAACTCTTTAACCTTTGGGTAGAGGAGAGAGTAGTCTCTCCTCTACCCAAAGATTAAAGATTGCTTACGCGATAAGATCGCCTTTTGTTCCTTATTACTTACTAGCTACCCAACCTGGCTCCGCACGGGTGTACATGTATTATACATACCTTCCTCTTGAATCACTCTATCTATTAAAAATAACCGCTTCAAAATCCGTTGCGTAGTTTTAAAGATTTAAGCATACATAGGGACAGACAGCTTCTTGTGATGAGACAGCTTTCCGAACGAGCGGTAGATTAAAAAAAATGTAATGACTATTCAAAAGTGCTTCAATGTAAGTTTATTTGAATAAATGATTTTCTATTCTATTCTATAGCGACAGCGACTTTATACTATGTTGATGAATATCTGTTTGTTCTTTGTGTTATACTTCTCGTGCAAAGAGTAAATAAATAAAGAAATAACATAGAACTTACCGCCACCATTCTGATAACAGATGTAGGGGAAACGCCAGACGTTGCCGAGGTCGACTGCAAACCCCACCACTGCCAGCAGGAACTCCGCTTTCTTGGCCCATGTCTCACGCTGCCGCTCCGGTGTCAGGGACACCACGACAGATCGTGTTTTTTGGGTTTGCTGTGAATTATCATAATATTTCAGGGGGGGGGGGGGGGACAAATTGTTAGTAATACAAATTCAAAATATCTTTATTCATGTAGATCTATTACAGACTCTCATGATATGCCAAATCTACCGTCAAGTTCGGAATGATTTCGAGATGTGAAGCACTGACAAGAAACTCAGCTCGTATTCTTTTCAAATAACTGTTGTACATGTATACAATAATACAGATTAATTTATATTGGACTGATGATCTTATTGTTAGCAATGTACCATGTCAGGTTGACATCGACGCGGTTCTTTTGGAAACCATCGTGATAAATTCTTAGTGAATTTGTCACGGAGACCTAACCGACCTGACATCATGCTCATCTTATCATCCTCCGCAGGTGCCCCGCTAGCGTAAACCGTTAGTGCAGGCGGGAGCAACATTCCATTATCATCCATAAAAAATCAGGCGGGGGGGAATGTGAACTAATATACCAAAGAGTAGAGTTTTATTTCTCCGGGGAAACGAAAGCTGGAAGTGTGTTTTTTCTTGTTCCCGGAGAAATAACAACTCGGTTTCTTTAAGTCTATGGTGAATCGATTTCTTCTGGCTAAGTGGGCTATATCCTAGATCTCGTCAGTTTTTTTTATACCACTTAGGTGGAAAACAAACATGCAGCCCATCTAACAATAAAATGTTACGGTAGCCTATGGACGCCTGAAACATCAGAGGTGTCAATTGCGCGTTGCCGACCCTTAAGAAACCTTAATATGCTCGTCTTGAAAACCCCATGCTGTAGTCTCTCATTGTGTTTCTTTCCAAATGTAACAATACAAGCGCAAAATCATTCATAATAAACAAACTACAAATTTTATTGATCATCATTACTGTCGCCTGCTTAGAATATAGGCTGCCTATTCTCAACCTAATAAAAAGTAATACTTACAGCTACCGTGCTGTTGGTGGACGGTGGCGGGTCAGGGGGTGCGGAGGGCGCGGGCGGTGTGTCCGGCGGCTCCGGGGGCATCTCTGGTGGTTCGCTCTCGCCGTTCCGCCGCTCCGGCCCCGGGCTCTCCCCCTGCGTAGGAGCATGGTTTCAGTTGCAATTAATTGGCGGTTCGGTAAAGTTCGTTTCTCCTATATCTCATATGTGTCAAGTACACAACGATCTTTAATATATATCTACAAAATTAATAAATTTATCTATTTTGATTGCCCCAGTGCTCTAGCGGTTTATCACACCATTTTACTTGGTCGCAGGTTCGATTTCTCGCACGTTGTAAACATTTGTATTCATGAGTATGATTATTTTTATCAGTCTAGATGTTGTCTAAGTACAATTTATATGTATTTATAAAAAAAACTATGTATAGAAATCAGTTGTCTAGTACCCACAACACAAGTTCTCCTTAGCATGGGACTAGATGACGCTGTGTTAATTGTCCTGATATGTATATATTATTGCATAGATATTTATTTATCACTCATAATCATGAATATTTTGTATCGTACGAGAATCGAATCCGCAACTATCGGGTATTATTACTTGTCTAACAGTTTATCACACAGCTATATAACAAAAATGGCCACAACACGTACATAGCCCAAATACTCTATTTAATAACTCAAAAAGAATCCTTATTTACGAAAGCATAAACATAATATTAATCTTACTTTAATTTGAAATCCCAAAAATTTTAATTCCAAAGCATTTAGTCTACAAAGTAACTCTGTCAAACACCATTTTCTTTGTGGACTAAGAACATGGCCGTTACACTTGTGGTCGCAAACAGGACACAATTTGTCGTGTTGACACAGACGAACAAACAGCCCTCCGCGGCGGACAGATTGCTTTGCAAACAAAAATAATGAAGTGACCCGCGCGCGTGTACGGATCACACTTTGCTGTGACTTGTATAGATTTAAATTGAGACTGCCGAGTTAGTATTGAATGATTGAATCCTGAGGTTTGCTCAGCACGAATCTCTTTCATAAGCCACCAAAATTGAAGGTCTCAATATAATCTATACATTTCAAAGTCAAAACGCGTAATTGAAATGAAGGATGTATGATCTAGAAACCTTTGCCTGTGTATATAGTCTATTGAAAAACAAACTTGAGTAGAAGGATTCGTCTTAGTGTCTAATTCAAAATTGGAACATATGTCATGGCGACATTATTATAGAAAATGATTTATACCAAACAATCAGTGACGAATCAAAAAGTTTTTATTCTAGTGAATTATTGCAAATTTCAATTTGTTTTTTGGGAAAATATTATTCTAGAAGAGAAGGATATATAGAGTGTCTTTTGTTTATTAAAATTGGAACTTTAATATTGAATTTATTCTTGTTCTTAATTTAAAATTGGACCATGTTTTTGGAAAATATAAACTAAAACTTTCTGATACAATGTAGTCATACTAGTATTAACATTACGCATACAGCTATGACGCGCTCGTCATCCTACTGCGGCTGCGCGCCTTGCAATATTGTGCATCTGTGGCGCATTACGTTTGCGCGCGAAAAATGAAAAAGAACAAAAATGGCTTCTTCTTCAGACATGCTAATTGATTGTTGTGCACCTAATTCCTAATTATTTTATAGTATTGTTTAAAAAGTTGCCTAAGTTAATCCTTATTACAATCAGCCAATAAAAATCATGTCAAAATCGGTCTAGAAATTTTAGAAATTAGCCGGAACAAACAGACAGACAGACAGACAGAAAAAATAAAAAAAAAATGTTATTATGGTGTATGTATCGTGTTTATATTCATATGCATGCAGTAAAAAACGATTATTTAAATATTACAAACAGACACTCCAATTATTATTTATATGTATAGATGTCTACAATTTACTTTTATTATAATAAAAAACCTATATACACAACAAACCTGAATCTACTATCCTACCTAACAACATGTATTTATTTCAGTCAATTAATTCCGTTTCTTGCATTTAACGTTTAACTGCTACTAAGTGAGATTAAATAATTAATTGTGTCAGCCGATTAACGACTGCATCGAGAGCTGCTCAGTATTGTCTATGGTTAATGTGTGTGGAGTGACGCTAATGAATATAGACGTATTCACTTAACACAAAATCAGTTGGCCGTATCCGGTCATATATAAGTATTATTCTACTAACTATTACTAGAATATATTATATATATTATAATAAACGCGAAAGTTTGTGAGTACTGATGGATGTTTTGTTACTATTTTACGCAGAAACTTTCAAGAAAATAGCTTATTCTTAAAAGGCCGGCATGTAATCATTTATCGTAAGGTGAGCCTCAAGCTCGTTCGTGTTTGTTACACTTTCACGAAAAATGACTTATCGAATTTTGATGAAACTTTACAGTAATATAGCTAATACATCAGAATAACACATATGTGTAACAACTAGCTCGTGCTAGAATTTAAATATATGGGATTTTCACTTAATGTTAGACATAGACACCTACGTAAATAAACTGGCTTAAAAAAATAAAAGAATTTCAGTTGATTTTCTTGCTTTCAGTTCTTCTCAATTGAATCTATATATTGAACTGGACGGTAGAAAATATATATTCCAAATAATTGACGTTCCTAAACGACTGAAATCAAAATCACATCAGATCAATAATTTAATCATATATATCATTTTAGTCACTTAGAAATGTCAATTTTTTTATAATAATATTTTTTCCCTATTGGAATTTTTTGGTTTAAAGTGCCGTCAAAATCGGTCCAACCATTTCAGAGATTAAATTTTATATATTATGTGGGGGAAAGGGGATTGGTAGTACTGTGCATTGATGATCTCATTGCTAGCAATGTACCATGTCAGGTTGACCTCCACGCGGTTCCCCCTGGAAATCACCGTGATAAATACTTGGTGTGTTACGATGGGCTAACTGACCTGACCTTCTTGCTCATCTTATCGTCCTCCACTGGTGCCCCGCCAGCGTAAACCGTTAGCGCAGGCAGGTGCACCATTCCGTTATCATCCATAAAAAAATATAGATTATATATGGAACTAGCTGTACTTGCCACTTCGTTCGCGTAGAATTTAACAAAAAAAAAATTTGAGAATTTTTCTAAAATGAAAGTAGCCTAAGTTACTCCTTATTACATCAGCTACCTGCCAATAAAAGTCCCGTCAAAATCGGGTCCAGCCATTTCAGAGATTAGCCGGAACAAACTAACAGACAAAAATTGTAAAAAATGTTATTTTGGTGTATGTACCGTATTTATATTCATATGCATGTAGTAAAAAACGGTTATTTCAATATTACAAACAGACACTTCAATTTTATTTATATCTATAGATGTATAGATAACTTTATACAATCTATATTATAAACATAGATAAATATAGATTGGATTCCGTCTAGGTGAACATAGTATCTATAATCTTAGATGAAATCACTTAATAATTTTCTCTGTATAGTGATAACGTAAATAGTAATAAAATGGCCTGCTAACATACATTTTAAATGTCACGATTTTAATGAGCATTTGATTTCACGGAGCGGAAATGGCAAAACAATTCATGCGAGATTTCCGTCCAAAGAAATAAAACATTGGATCCATCCAAACCATATGTTTGGATGGATCCAATGTTTTATTGTATTATTCAGTTGAGTTTAAATTAAAAATTTTCAGACATGCTTGCAGTGACTTCTGCTCTTGCCTCCATTTTTGTTCTATAAAATTGCAAAAACTATATCGATTTAGTATTATCATTCTTACATAGTATAAAACAAAGTCGCTATCGCTGTCTGTCCGTCCATATGTATGCTTAAATCTTTAAAACTGCGCAACGGATTTTGAAGTGGTTTTTTTTAATAGATAGAGTGATTCAAGAGGAAGGTTTATATAAATAATACATGTACACACGTGTGATGCCGGGGTGAGTAGCTAGTTATTAATATGTTATTAAGTTGTTACAACAAAATATAACTGTTGTAACTGCGTAATAATGTTGTTGTAACAAAATAAACCATGTTGTCTGAAAATAAATTATTATTGGAATAAATAATTTGAAAAAAGTTAGTTATATATATAGGTAGATATATGCTTTATCTATCTAATATTTATATCTACTATTAATAAATTACAAATATGCTATATATTTTACACATGAGATACAAAAACATAAATTTTACAACTAGAAATTTAAACCCACAAAGTGGTCGTCTGGGTATGAACTCACGACCTTTACGATCTAAGTCGGGGTAGTAAAGAACAAAACCGCGAAGCACTCAACCTCAAAGTAATTCTAATATTTTTTTCCATTCTGTTTCACGAGTCTTCTAGAGAGCCCAGATGGCTACAGTAAAGAGGTAGTCAATATAAATTAATTTAATTGTAAAATAAAAACCAACAGTAAACAGAGGTGTGAACTGAAAATTTTTAGTCATAAATTCTCTAAGAAAACTGATCGTTGGTCTAGCGGTTTATAACACCGCTTCACTTTCGATGGTCGCTGGTTCGATTCCTCGCACGGCACAAACATTTGTATTCATGCCTATAGTTGTTTAAATATTTTTAGGGGTGTATTCTATGTATGTTATGTATGCACTTACAAAAAAAAATATTTCTATGTATTTACATCAGTTTTCTAATACCTATAACACAAGCTCTGCTTAGCTTGAGACTAGATGAGGCTGTGTGAATTGTTGTGTGAAAAAAAAGGAACATAAAAACATTGTCACTGATGGTAAAAAGGATACCCACACATATAACTTTATATAAAGACTTTATATTATTACATAGTATAAAATAAAGTCGCTGTTACTGTCTGTCCGTTCCTATGTGTGCTTAAAATTTTAAAACTAAGCAACGGATTTTGAAGTTGTTTTTATAAATAGATAGAGTGATTCAAGAGGAAGGTTTATATTTATCATATACACGCGTGCGAAGCCAGGGTGAGTAGCTAGTTAATATTATAACTGCGAAAGTTTGTGAGTATGTATAGACGTTTCACGTTACATGTTTCTTTCACGTTTATTATGTACATCAGAATAACACACGCTATAAAATTCACGCGGGTAATATCACGAGCACAGCTAGTTAATAATTTGTATCCC